AACCCGTCTTTCACCAAGCATTTCGAAGCTCTTCGCGACAATATCATTGCCCTCTGTCATTGTATGGGATGATAACTATCTATTCAACTTCGATAAGAAATGCCCACAGTGGAACCGAATCCACCAGAGCACCTGGACAGCAGGTTCACTGTTTCGGACTTTGTTCGTACTAGTGCGTCCTCTCCGCCACCCACACCTATCACTCGCGTGATTTAGAATGTCAGAACGGGACGATCCTAACCCCGGTGTGGCCGATACGCTACGGTTTGATCCCAGCTTACTTTTTGCCTCGCCGTGGTTCAACGACTACCACATGGGTTGACCTCCGATGCCTCAACCCCTGGTACGACCCTGCGTCTGATTCAGCCTTTAGTTCCATCGGTGTGTCTATCTGTACAGAGTGCTTTCTCCCTGCCTTTCCTCTCCATTTTAACCCTGCTTCCTTTCCACCGCCACATCCCAATTAGAAACACAAGAAAGGCAGGGATCGTGCCCCCCACTAGTCCCCATGCGGCTGCCTCTCCGCACTTTCAGCGATAGGCGATCTTGGCCCAATCACTGAAGTGTGGCCATCCTATAGGATATGTAGACTGATAAGGTCCAAGGCCAAAGGTCCAAGGGGTGGGTGGGTCGCGGCCATGCCATCTCATCTCGGGGGGGCCCCATACATTAGAATTCTGGGTTTTTTCCTTTTTTGCTGGGGCGGTCCAGGTTGGGGTCTATCTGGGACCCAATCATGTCAATGGAGTTCCAACCTAACAACTTTCTTACATCTCACCCACCCGTTTAATCAGTCGAATCATGGATGGTGGCGGCCGGACGGGATAAGCACTTCCTTTCAGCCAACAACCGCCCCCTTACCTATGGGAAGGGTTCCCGACGGGGATCCGTTCTTCTTGGGCGCCATGGGGGTGTGGCCACGCATGTGTGCAATCTCCAGATCCCTGTGTGGAAGGTGGTAAAAGAGGCGACTTGGCTACATACGAGGCTGGATCGGAATCGGGCGTGGCACACATGTGTATACCACGAACAAGACACCTTCACACCTCTTAGCGAGTACCTAGCTAGCTAGCTCTTGGGCGCTAATCTAACGGACTCTTCCGGTCTCCGTCATTCAGGGTCTTGGATAGACTTGGCCGGGGCCGCCGGGACCATCATCACCAAGTTGTGCTAGGTGCAAACCACTGGCCGAGGCAATTCCCCGGCGTGATAGCCGCAGCGAGGTATCCGCCAACACCCGTGATTCGTCCCGCTCGTCGCTCACTCTGCCATTGACATGCATGGAAGCACGGGAGAACCAATGCTAAACCATGGGGTGGGCAAGTATTCCCCAAAGTATGTACTCCGTAGGCATCCATAGTATCACGCGGCATGGCGGCGCGACCTCGATCACGGTCATTCGAGGAACCCGGCTTGGATGCTGCATCGGAATCCTCGTGTTTTCCCCCAGCGCCCAGATGTCCGGGCACCTTTCCCGGATCACCAAGAACTCCTCGAGGTCAGGTCTGGGAAATTGAGTGTTTTGATCTCGTGGCTCGGCAGCTGCCAAGTTTCTTTGCTTTGCTTCGCTTAGCTTCGCCAGACCTGTTCGTTCCCCTGGATGGGGAGAAGCGTAGCGAACTGCAAGTCAAGCAAGATCTGAAAAGTTTCTCATCTCAAACGATGCGTTGTAGATCGTACGACTAAATCGTTCCAGAAGCATAGGTATTGCAGCTGGGCGTAACTGGATAGAGACTGGGTCTGGCCACTACATGTGGTCAGATCAGCCCTGGACGTACGCGTTTCGTTATCATAGGGAATCCTCCAGCCAAGAGCTAACACCGTTCGAGCAGAATCTAGATCCTAAACACCCGACTCCATCGTAGAGAGTCCCAGGCAGGATCGCAGGATCGCAGGATCGCAGGGGGGATCAGCTCCTCACTCCTCAGCTCGGGCTCTCTGCGGCGATTTCTGTGCCCGATACTCGATACTTTGCGCTCGATGCTTGACTTTCAGCCACAGCAGCCACCCCTTTTTGAAGGCGTCCGGCTGGCGTTGTCACTGGCTACATGCGCTGGACAGATAGCCACGGTAGCATCGGGCTGGGTTGGCAATGCGCGTGCTCCTCGGGCGAGCATTGCCTTTGTAGGGGAACCAAGGCCGCCCGGGGTGTTGCAGCTGGGTTGGTTATTATTTGGTGTTTTGGATTTTGATTTGATGCTGGTGATGCGATGCGATCGTGGATGTTTGCATTCACTAGGATGTTCGGAGGACGGAGATTATCCTACGGTCACCTGTGATACTAGTACGGAGTTATTTTTCTTATAATTCTCTCTGCTCCCTTTCCCTCTACCCTGCATCTTGCTATTAAACATGTTATCCCCTCATCAATAGACCGCCACAGAAGTGAAGAAAAGGTGGATACTACGGTTCTACTAATACCCCTCGCCAGCATAAGTACTTTCTAGACAGCCCAACCACCGGAACAGCACCTGATTCAGGACGCGCACCTACGAATCATCCAATCTCGTCTGCCTAATTCGCCACTCGCCAAGGGGATCGCAGTAAGACCTGAGTAGAAATTCAGCGGATAAGCGAGATCCCTGGTCGCTTTAGAGTTGTCCCACTCGCCGACGGTGTGACTTTAGCTCTTACTACGAAATGCGGGGAGATGCAAGTTGTTAGGTAACAGTTTCCACACTTTCGCCCCGGCTTTCTGGGGTAGACCAATTCACACGGCACAGCTTGACGAATGATTCGAATGATGACTCGGTCTTTACGACATGTCATTTTGAGCGAACTAACCCCCAATTTTGTTGTTTGGTGACATGATGCCACAGTGTTAGCATCAGTTCCCCCAGGGCCCCCACAGAATTCGGTAGGGCCACAAGCTTCTTTTTCCCCTCTGCTTTTTTTTATCTGCGAGTCTTATAATAAAATAAAATTGCTTGTCCACATTTAATGAATATTTGACATCGCTACTACTCCCTGGAACTTTTCCTACCCTATCAGTTATTAGGTAATCTATATCATAGTAGCCAGGCGTGAATCATGAATCCTGAACTCTACCTAGACTCTGCTCGTTTCAAAGATGCATACGTGCATCAAACCTTGGCTAAAATAGATTCTTGAGTTCCGATGAAAACTCTCTCCATCTTTCACCTTACCCCATAAACCGGCCCGGTTCGGTTTACCCCAGACTGCCTCTAACATGGGTGTGATCTTCACCCCGGACGGGGGGTGGCTAACTAGTTGCCGCAGTTAGTTCACGCACGTTCTTCCAACTTGAACCAGGCAGGTGTTGGGGAAGGCGTATATCCCGATAGTATGCATATGCGATTCGCTATGTTTTCATTTTGGAGAACTCGGCCGCGGGGCACTCTCATCCTGCATTCCCCTCAGTCCGGGGTAACTGGGGCTCCCCAGCCAGCCATCCACCACAACCTGTTTATTTGGCCCTCTTTCTATGGATCCAGACCCGCCCTCTCCATTTGAATGCAAAAGCCCGTGATTGTGGAGCCATCGATTTCAATATCGTGCGCGGTTTAATCGTGGCAGTGTCAAGGATATTAGCTGAATAGCCGGCTATCACGCCCGGGGTATACAGCCAGGGGTCCCTGGATGACCGTCTATATCCGCTGCTAAGCTAGCTGAAGTATCTATCTTGGGGTGGCGGCGATCAATGGCTTACAGTGTGCATTGGGGCTTTGAGTGGCGTTGGATTTGTGATTGGGGGGAGATTAGGGGTGCTGTGACGGCGCGCCAAGTGCTTCTAGAACTGGTGTGATATCGGCGCAGGACTCCCGGGGCGCGTTTGGCGGGATGGCGTCTGAGACGTCTAAGACATTAAAGCCTTAGGGACAGGCCATTTCCTTGGCTATCTTGGAAACAATAGAATAAGGGGGATGAACCGGAAGTAATTCCTGGACCCGGCGCGTCTTCATCATCAAGGGTTGGATGGTCGGATAAGGAACAGGGTTATCAGGTGTTTGATTGAATCAATTAATTCTATTGGTGTTTTCATTTCGTTGCATTCGGTATCATTAACACACAAATTTCTTTTCGTTATATTGAAAAAGCAAGCTCGCTTATGCGCCAGCAGTAGGGCCTTCTCCACCGGGAATCAACTGGAAAGGGTCAGTAAAGCACCCAAAGAGAGCTGTGGATTAACCATACCATGCAGATGTTGTTTCCATTCAGTAGAAGCTTGGGCAGCTTGACCTGGGCGCCAGTGTAGTCACTAAAACTAGGTTAGCCGCCATGATATGTGAGAGGGTCTCTCGTTGTGGGGATCCACGAGAACGTGGCAGTCAAGAGTCACGTCGCGAATCACACCGCGCAGGGTACATACAATTCGGTAACATCTTCCAGGACCATGTCTGCGAATTCCATTAGTATAACTCTTCGATCAATACGTTTCATATCAGGGAAGGGATACTCACTGACGTAGTCATCAAACCCGAGCAGGGTTCCGGAGAACTCTGCAAGTCATGTTAGCTTCTCAGCCCATCACTCACAATCAACCTATCAAAACCTACCCTTGTCGCCCTTCATCACAACCCAAATCCGGGAGCCGACACACTTGTCGATAAGCTCTATTGAAGGGTTAGCGGGGGGGGTCTCGTGAATGGCGGGGCAGTTGGAATCTCACCCAGAGGGAGCAGCTGGGAGGCCATGATTGTTGGTATTCAGTGAGATCTGCGTGACCTGACGAGATTCTCTAGTAACTTATTCCAGCAATGAATTGATAAGGCGTGCAAAGAAGAGGATGTATATACAAAAATCGGCCGTCCGGGAGCTGCGATCTCTTTGCATCACGTGGTATACACACTAGTCCCGGATAGGTATGGTGTCGCCTCTCCGCTGCGTGACTGCTTGTCGCCGCACCTCGCACTTCTTTGAAGCTCACTTTCCCTTGAGAACTAATTGTTGGCGGTGAATTAAGCTATTCACGCATTTGAATCGGTCCAGCACATTTATGTGTCATGACCAACTGAGATTTGATCGCCTGAAACCCCACTATGCTTGCTCCGCAGTATGCGGACCTGGGCGAGCTTTCCGGCGGGTCTGAGGCGTGCCTCGGCCTGCCCAGCTCATTACAGTCCCTTCAATCGTTGCTGCAATAGCCCTGCCGTGAATGCTGCGCTCGGCTCGAGGTTTGTGCTTTATTCCTGGTCTCTCATCTTCAATGTCAGTTTATTGACATCCGTTCCTTTCACAGCGCTCAATACTCCGCACTTTATGCAGCACCCTCATCACGAGTCGCCCACGCAAGAGAAAGGATATGCCGGCGAGTAAATAACGCACGAATCGTACGCCCTTTCTCGAATACACGCTGTCAACGAATTAAGCTCGAGGAAGAGGACGAGGGAGAGGAGCCACCAGCTCGGCCCACCCCAACCCCACGCTATGGAGGAACTGGAAAACACCCGCTGAGGAAGCCCATGCCTGCCAAAGCTGAACTCGCACAGCTTATAAGGTCTCGGAGAAACGATGTGCCTTCACCTCCACCTCCAAAACCTTTCAACCCGGCCAAGCTGCGGGCAATTGACAAGAAAGCGAGCTTGGCGTTCTCGCTCGATCTGCCTCGGTTGAGTCGTGACTTTCTGCAATTGAAATGGGCCCATCTCGAGGACCATATCCTGCAATGCGCGGCGATTTACACGCAGTTTCAGACAGAGTACCACGAAGTCCTTTCGGCGCTGGTCGCCCAGATCGAGGACCAGGTACTGCAGAGCAGCGTGGATTGCCGAAGTCTGGAAGACCAATATTGCAGGGTTGCGTTCCGCCAGGTTCCAGATCTGACCAAGGATGTATCACGGGCTATCCGTAATATCACCAAGCTACGATTAATGGCATACAACGAGCTGGTAATGCAATCGCAGCGTGCTGCGCAGGATCTGCGAAACCAGCTCCAAGAGGAGTTCATCCGTCCCCGAAATGTCGCAAGGCGCAAGATCGATGGACTTCTTGATTACTCCATAAATCTTGGGATGGAATACAACATCTTAAAAGAAAAAGACAGAACTGTCAAGCAAGACTTGCTTGAGATCGCACATGACTGCCGTCTTTTAGGGCCGAATTTCAAAAAACACGAGGCTAAGCTCAGATATCATTTGTACGAATACTCTACTGCGGCGCACTTTCATCGCCGTGCCTGGTCCTATCGCCGGAAAAGGCTCAACCCTCTCAAGGCGGCAGAGCTGTGGCCAATAACCCACTCACCAGCTGAGTTACCTCCTGCTCGCTTGCAACCAATCCCCGCCATTTTATTTGATGATAAAGAATACCTTCCTGTACGGCGAAAGCTTGAGAAGCGTCCTCTTTTACATGCAAGTCGTATTCGAATGTTGTTCATGCGTAAATGGAAACCGGGAATATCCGCCCAATCACCAGAACTTGACTTGCATTGGCGACAGCTCGATATCATGGCACCTTTCTTCCTTCAGTTGAAGCATTTTGATGTTCTGTATCAGGAAGCTCGTTATCTTCTGGGTAGTCTTGCTGGCCAGACAGGACCATTGTGGTCTAATATCGAACCGAACAGAATGGATGTTCACAAGACAGCCTTGTACAAACTTGTTGGACGAATTCGGGAAAGTCGATTTGATCTGATGGCGGAGCTCGAGGCATATAGATATATCAACTGGATTCGTATTGGACTAGAGAGGAAACTGTCTGATAAGAATCTGCCCAATGTGATCCAAGGTTCTTTCGTGGTGCGGAACCCGTTGAGCAATAATCTCCGGCTTTTTGGGGACTGGACTCGAAATCTTGCCTCGTTGATCCAAGACTCCTGGATCACTCGCAAGGCCATTGAGCTGAGCGAAGGCTCCGTCCAAACTGGCCTGATGTGGACGAAGTTACTGCGGGATCTCGAAGACATTGAAAGGCGACAAACTATTGAGAAACGTGCCGAGACTATGAATTTGGGCTTCGTTCATGTCCAACGCAGGGGAAGAACTCGCCCTACATTGCCTACAAAGGAGCAAAAAAAAGCCCCCCCTGCAGAAATGAAGCCATGGCCCGTTCAAAAAATGAAAGTCGAAGATGCTGCTGCGGCCAAGAACCCGTTGAAGAAACCGGGAACGCCAGTCAAGGATCCTAAGGCAGCACAGAAGCTACGGGAAATCCAAAAAATGACAATCAAGGATTCCGAAAATAAGACTATTGAGCAGCTTGCTTCTCGCGCTCAAATACAAACCATTGCCGAGAAGAAACGGAACCGCCTGTCAGCACGTGCAACGCAAGATGGTATGCGAAAAGAATCCAACAAAGGCGTGGGCGAAATCGTGAGGCAGAGTCCACATTCGAAGAAAAATACAGAGAGACATCCTCTAAAGAGCGATGATCCAGCCAAGCCCTCTAGCCGTGGATCTTCTTACTTCAAATCTCTTGATTTCTTCCAGCAAAATTCTTCCAAGCGAGAATATAGCACTCTCGCGCCAGCCCTGGGCAGAATCAAAGATTGCAGCCAGCTTGATGCTACACTTGAACAGTCATCCGATCTCAATCTTTCGGCCACCGGGACCGCCTCACCATCGACGGGAGATGCAGCTCCACCCAGCGGAATGACACCACCCCAGTTCTGGAGTCACAGTTCACAGCGGGGGCCAAATGGTCAAAAGCCTATCGTCCACTACTGCCGGTCCCTGGAAAGCACAGAAGAAGTTGCCCAACTATTCCTCAACAGCAAAGTCATCGGCTTTGACATGGAGTGGAAAGCACAAGCAAGTGCTTACGACACGATCCAAAACAATCTCTCCATGATCCAAATTGCGAACGAAGAACGCATCGGATTATTCCAAATCGCCCTTTTCAAGCCAGCGCGTACACTAGACGACTTCGTCGCGCCTTCACTCAAGCGTATCCTCGAGTCGGAAGATGTCACAAAGGTTGGCGTCTCGATCAAAGCGGACGCAACGCGTCTCCGCAAATTCCTCGGCGTCGACACCCGCTCTATCTTGGAGCTTAGTCATTTGTTCAAGCTTGTGAAGCACGGCCACGCGGCTCCGAAGTTGGTTAACAAGCGAATGGTCAATCTTAGTGAGCAAATGGAGGAGCATTTCGGATTACCTCTTGAGAAGAGTGAGGATGTGCGCTGTGGCGATTGGGCCCGTCCGTTGAATTACCGCCAAGTACAGTGTAAGTTTCCTTGTACCCTGCCTTTTTAATTGCGACAGAGCAGTGCTGACAGATGTTTTGCCTATAGACGCTGCAACCGACCCTTACGCTTGCATTTGTCTTTTCAACACCATGGAGCAAAAGAGGGTGGCTATGGATCCGATGCCGCCTCGCCCTGCGCATGCAGAACTCAATCTACCTATTCTTCTCCCTCAAGAGAAATTGGCAAGTGGTGAAGAGAAGTAAATTATTGCCGATAAACCATCTTATGTCGATATCAATGGTCATCCTTGATCTCTTTTCCGTCACTTTCTCGATCCTTGTCTTCATCCAACATTTTGAAAGCCTCTGTTATTTTTCGGCATATATCAGTTCATATAGAAGCGGGCGTCGCATCTCATCTCATCTCATCCCACTCTTGTTTGTTGTCCATTTTCAAGCTTACACATTGGATTCCACGGGTTTTTTACCTGCAAATGCACAGTTTGGGCACCTGGGTGATCGTATATATTGAATACCAGTACAATTAATGGGGTTTTAGGTGCTTGAGATCGCTAAATTTCCTCACGCTGAGACCTTACTGGTGCCCAGGTGATGAACCGAAATCTTCCTCATCTCGTTCTGTGAATGGGTACATGACGAGAGTCCTTCGAACGCCACGTAACCCCCGAAGACAATTTTGCAGTGCACCAGACAAGTCTGAAATGTTTCTTTCCTTGCTAGTAGAAACTGAGCTTCGGATTTCCTCTGCAAGCCCTGTTGCCGCTAATTCGTATGCCTGTACGACCATAGTAGGATGCTTCAAGGATGTTAGTGAGAATATTATCTTATCATGGAGAACTGAGTTACCGGATGTGCCGTAATGTCTTCAATGTTAGCCTTAAGCCCTGCTTCCCCTCGAGACCAGGACCCCTGGATCACCGAAGCGAGAGAAGATAGCCGGATCGCGCTTGTCAACCGTTGCAAGCTTCGATAGTTAGCAGTTTGGTGCATTCGTTCACGCAGATGCTCGCTTGATGGTTGTAGCCGGCCTGCCAGATGTCTTTCAATTTGACACGAAAGCTTGTGAAATATGAGAATTGCAAGGTCACCGTCAGTAGCGCAAAATATCACACTGCGTCTCAGATCTGCGGTTGCTCTTTGCAGTCGATCCGTTGTGATAGGATTCAATGGTCCAAAAGTGGTCCTCCATACACCAATGGTCATTAGCGTGGTATCGAAAATTCGACGAGTGCCTTCAAAATTGGCCATCCCATTCCGGATATCTCGCGTGGCTTGCGTTAAGCGGGCGAGCAACTTCCACAGCAACACTACAAGGGAGCCTGACTCCGACAGTGCACTCTGTATGATACTATCTGAGCAGCATTGAGACAACAGTTGTGTGACTGATTTGTTTTCTTCCATGTCCTGAGAAACATTAGTTTCATCTAGGACCTTCGTAGCCATCCCTTGAAATTCAAGTTCATCCCCTACTGGATGATTGATGTTGGTGCTATGGTCAAGAATAGATGGCGTAATGACGAGATCTCGTTTTGGGAAAAGCGCAATTGCAACCGATTGGGATATGTCAACAAGCCATTCAAGCGCAACAATTAGGTCTAAGAGTCCTCCCGACTCCTCGGTACGCAAGCTTGCCCACGGAGGTGATGTTATTGTTGGCTGAAATCGTTTGCCTGGGGATGCTTTTAGAGTTGGTTGTTCTTCACCAAGAACGAGACGAATCCGTGCTTCAGAGCATAGCATCCGGAGGCGGCTGATGCCTTCTTGGAACGCATATGTAGAATCATTTTCAAATTCATCGCTTCGATCAGTCCCGGTAGGGTACAGGATCGTTCCAAAAAGTAGCAAAGATAATCCTAAACGGAAAGACTTTCTTGCCGCAATCTTTGTAAATACCATCTCCTTTGCTTTTTCGCCACGCAGCATATGCAATATCTCGAGCTTCCTTTTGGGAATTTGCATTTCTCTCAGAGTTGGATCCACAAATATCAAATTGTGATCCAGTCGCAATGGCGACCCATTTAAAAACTTCTGCGAAATCATCATTGCGTGATGGATACTCGGTATTTCCGGATCTAGGCTTCGCGGGTTGAAATATCATATCAAGAATGCTCGCCGTAACAAACAAACGGGGCACGGCGGAGGCTGGCAGATGTGGGGATGAATCAATATTCCAACTATCCTTGATGCTCAATTGAGTGCGATCAATTATTGCGGCCATGTTTGAGTTATGGCCCAACGAAGTCAAAGCAGCAACACCCACGGAGTGACAAGGAAGAATACATCCACCCGAAAGAAGGTCTGACACCGGAATGTCAAAGACATCGATGTACACTGCTAATCTTTCAGAGCAAGCCTCCCGCCTCATAAGATTTGAATTGAGAGAAGATTCATGAATTGATAAATTAAGCGATGTAACAGATGGGACATTGTATTTCCCTTGTTCATTGACGGTGACAGGACCTCCCTCGACCTCGTGATGGGCATCGGACGAAGGAGATGCAGATGTGTAAATCGTGTTACTGGATTGTTTGTTCGTTCGCCATATAACTGTACAGTCCCTGCCACGCAGCTTGCACATAGAGCAAGCAGATAAAGGAAGATTTCTCGAGGGCGAGGGATGTAATGGCAAATCGCATGCCCTTTTTGCCGAACGGCAGGGATCACATGAGCGATTCTGCCTTCGGATTCTTGTTGGTTTTCGCTTGCTCGCTGGTTTTGTGTTTTTTGAATACGGAATTTCGTTCATTTCATTGTATAAGGAGAGGGGTTTGTCATGTGGCGAGGGGCGGCTGAAGGGTTCTGTTGGGCCTAGGTTCTTCTCGCTGGACTGTAGTGATTCAGGCGTTTCGGTCTGCTGACCGAGGTAGGCCGAGTACAATCTCCCATCACATAATGAGGAGAAGGAAAATGTCCCGGTATCTCCACCACACCCAAAAATATCAGAAAAGAGGGAGAACTTTCGATTATCCGGCCTGGACATCATATCACGCTGGTTGTCATCTTCGTTGCGGAGCGGGTCAAGGAGATTCGGGTAGCCAGGTGTTTCACCGACAGTCATACCGTCAATATCCATAGTGAGCAATGACGTGGAGAGAAAATTAAGCCATCACTAACGCGCTTCCGAGACCATTTCCATGGTGGGATGCCGCATGGTACTTAAAGCGATGTACTCGCGGATCCGCGGGTCCGCGGGCTCCGAGAGGGGAAGCCCCGACAAACTATAATCCATCTATGATTCGCGTTCCTTATTTCGATTTACGAATGAGAAAGCAGTGGTGTCTCTAAGTTTTTTTTCTCGCTGTGCTAAGTTATGGTGATGGTCCGAGGTGGAAAATCCAGCAGTCAAAAAATCCTGTAAAAAGGCCTGAGCTTCATGACAGTTACACCTCTCAAACCTGATTGTTTCTCAGTGAAACCCAAATCGGACTCTTTGAATATCTCTATCTCTATATGGAACAAATCAATCCCCAAGACAGATCAATTGGAGGCTACTAGATCTTTGATCTCTCTTTAGATAGCTCGAGCCCGATAGAAACATCGCGAGCAGCTTGAGCTCCGCTAGACAGAGCACCTTCAATAGAGCCAGGCTCACTTGCGGAAATGTCACTTCCTGCGAAGTAGACATTGCCATGTGGTTTCTGAAGTTCAACTGCGCCAGTTGTAAAAAATCCAGGTCGGTTCATCATCCAGCCTCCTTTGGCAAATTCATCGTTAACCCAACTATGGTAAGCGATATCTATCACTTGAACATCCGGTAGAAACCTTTGTAGCAGTGATTGTACCCCAGATCTGTCCTGAGAGCGTATAGTAGCATCATCCGAGCACATGCATAGGATAAGAGTGTCTCCATCAGAATACCGCTCAGTTCGGAGTGCATTGAGTGGGTATTTCCCGGCTGGTGCATAGATCGTGAAGGGCTCGACCTCGCCTTTGACTCTAATCCAGAGCTTGCCAGCCATGGTGGGGTTCTTTTCGGTAATCATAGATTGTGCCAGAGGGGTAAGATTCGGCGTCATGTGAATGTCGCCGATGGTGTTTAGTGGGAGGGCAGTAATCACCATACGCGCATGAATCGTTTGCTCATCCCGAGTCCCAATAATCACCCGAGAGCCTTTGTCGACGATAGAGCTCACCGGTGTCGAGAGAAGGAGCTTGGCATTTGTTTGAGCCAAAATGGAATTGATTAACTTCTTCGTTCCACCCTTGATGCTCCAAGTGCCTGCTGTTTCGAAAAATGCATCAAAACTCCCGGAGTAGGTGGCCACAGCATGAAGTAATTGAGCAATGCCATGACTTTTGTAGGAATGTACCAGGCCAGACAATGCACCTTCCAAAACATCACGTTGGTATGAAGACAACCCCAAGGAGTTGATGCGATCTTCAATCGAATCCTTTTCGATTTCTGAGTTGTCGATGGCGGTAAGGTTGAACGGCACAGGGAATCGAGCACGGCTGTCTGCAAAGAACCGGTCTAGAAGTGGAGACACAATCTGGGAAAATTCCTGAGAGCTCCCAGAGTGCACGGCTCCGTCAGCAAGCCAGTAACTCTTTCCTTCATCCATCGGTGGATTGAGGGTAATGCCATGGCGCTGAAGCTCGGTCCAAATATACGGTTGCGTCCAGTGTACATAACCACCACCAAGCTCAAGCACATCACCACAAGCCTGATCCATGTAGGTTCGTCCTCCAACACGATCTCGGGCCTCAATGAGTACCACTTTATAGCCCTTTTCACTGATATCGCGCGCCGCAATAAGGCCAGCCATACCGGCCCCTATGACTGCGACATCGAAGACTTCGTCCATTTTGACGCGAAGGAAATTTGTGCCCAGGTGCCCAGGTGCTTTGTCAAAGATTTTTTGCTTCCACGAGTGGTTTGGCGAATGAACTGCCCAGGTGAACTTGGGTTCTTTCGTCGCGGGAACAAAGCGGGTTAAATATGCATCGAATGGATACCCGCCTCGTCCTAGTACTAGTAGTAGGTACTATCTGCATATCCAGGCAACCCTTTTCTGTTCTCTGGTTGCTTCATTTGGAGTTCACACCGATTTGCTGCCCAGGTGTAAAAGGGTTGAACTGTACCGCGGAGCCCGCGCGGCCCGTTTGACTTTGCGGCTCCGCGGGCTTGCCACAACCGGAGCCGAGACGATCGGCATGCCGGAAAGAAAGCTTCACGAATTCGAGCCCTCGGCAAGCGAACAAGGTTTAATACCTAGGTTTTTTTAGATCATATTTCGATATTTACTGGCCTGCGCGGTTCGAAAATGAGGGTTATTGAGATGTGACTAAATATCCATGGATATGCTGAACTTCAACTTGAAGTTGAACTCGGGGAAGATATTTAAACTTCAAGTTGTATCCCATTGGCAAGACGAGGAACTTCAAGTTGGAATACGAGTTCGAGAGCAAAATAATAGCTAGGTGGTAGATTTGAGCCGACAGTACCTAGGTAATTTATGGTACCTATATTTACAGCGTTTCAATGATCTGATCTCGTGGGCACCCAAGTTTCTCCATTGACTTGAAAAATTCCTTGGGCTTAACCCAATCCTCCGGACAATTGACACCCGCATACTTGTGATATTTTTGGTCAAGGGCCAATAGCGCAAAGGCTGCACAGCAGGCTCCGATGGATGTTGCCATACTCTGATCTAGGGGCGAGCCTCTCGAACTAGTCGGAGTCCGTTTAATGACCACGGCGGGCTGTCCGTTGTGGGTGCCAATACCCCGAAGGAGAAGACCAGACCGTCGCGGCGATTCTTTTCCTCGTGCATAGTTGATCAAGAAGTTGAAACTCTCAGCCGCCGAACATTGCCCTTTACCAACTTGGGCAACCATGCCCCAGAGTGCAAGGTTCCACGGCTTCAAGGATGTAGCGCCATTTGAAGCCAACTGGTATAGTTGGTTTAGTGAAATATTACCACCTTGTAGTTGCGAGGTAGCAGCACCAATGATGTCGCTCCAGCTCCCAGTTGATTTCTTCTGCATATTTTCCAGAAAGTCGATCGCTGAATCCATAGAGATAGTTCCGCTATTAACGGCAGCTCCAAGTCCACGAGCAAGCCCATTGAACGGGGCTGGATTGAGGGCGCCTAGTGTGCGAATTCGGTTTACATTTGGAAATCGGCGAGGCAACGTGACTGGCTCCGGATGAACACTCTCATAAACTAAAGTCTCCGAGCTATCATCCATAGGAACCTGGCAGGTTTCAACCCAGTTTTCGTGGAGAGCTGCCTTCCCATCGGCCCAGGTTAAACAAGGCCCACCAGTGATCTGCATGAGGTGCTCGAGAACATCTCTGCCGAGCTGACCACCCTCCTCGCTAACCATCCAGCAAATATCGAGTGTATCAACAATATCAAGCTCCTCTGCGATCTCGACCGCAAGGAGATTTGTCATGCCGGGAGATGAACCGCAATTGATATAGCAAGGAACGCCTTCTTTCTTTGCCCGTTCGTGAAGCTTGAGCGATTCCTGTGTACTATGGACATCGTCGGAGTAGTCCAAGTAAGGAACCTTTGCATCTATGCACGCAGTGAGGACAGGAGTCGAGGCTGTATGGTACGGCTGTGCCCCTTGGATGACGAGAGCAGCATCAGCAAGGACACTCCGTATCTGATCCGAATCAAAGATGTCCAGCAGTCGGATGGATATCGAGCTTCTGTTTGGTAGCTTGCTGGAAACCTGGCGAAGAGAATCCTCGTCGAGATCGGCTAGGACGATAGGTATATTTGTCGCATTTGCAAAGAACCTGATAGCTTCGCCGCAAATTGGATCCGTAGCACCAACGAAGATCACCGGCCTGCGAGAACTGAATACGTTGCTCATGTTGCAATAGTCTCAATCAAGAAGAGACTAGTGTTTTGGGTTTAGTCGTGTAGATAAGTTCCAGCCAAAAGGTAGAAGGAAAATTGGAGTTTTCTTTCTCAAACATCTTGCATCCGCGTGCTTTTAAGCTGTGTTCTTGATGCACGGGGAGAAAGTCCAAGCTGCCTTTGGATTCGGGGCGACTGAATGACCGGCGGCTCCGGGTCGTATTTTACCTGGGCCCAGTAAGGTTCGAATGATCAGCGATAGCAATTCATGTGGGCAATGGAGAACCAAAATTGAATTCAAGGATGAGGCCGAAGGTAGTTAATGGGTGGAGCCGCGGAGCCGCGGGAGCCACGACGGACTCGGAAAATCTACAATCTTGTCTTCGAAGTTCAGAAACCTTGGAAATGTCTTGAGAGGCAGCAAAACAAAATGAATGGAGGTTTTCTTTCTCCGCAGGCATGATTGTGGGATGATTTGAGTTGCCAGCGGCTCCGGGGGGAAGGTCATACTACCTACCTAGGTAGGTACCGGGGTACTACTACTCCGAGTTTGAGTATCTCTCTAGGTTGCACCTGCTACTACTGGCCTAGTACCGCAAATTAATGATATATAGAGAGACCCCTCGAAGTTTTGATTTTGATATATTATCTAGACCATTCACAGCAACTCGTTTGCCTTAAACTTCTAGGATAAACTAACATCCAAATAGTACCATTGATTCTTTGACTTGCAGTCAGACGACGATATGGCGACCCCTGAGCTTCCGCAAGAGCTTTTATTCAAGCTGGCTGGTCAAGTCATCCAAGACCCTGGCGTTCCCTTGCCAAACCCGACAATTCCTGCCTGGCAAGAGCCACCACATCCACTTGCAACTACACAATCAAAAGATTTGCCTAAATACACAGACTTTGCCATTATCGGATCTGGCATTACTGGGTGCAGTGCTGCAAAGACGATTCTCGAAAATGAGTTGGGAATCGACAAGACGGTGACAATGTTTGAGGCCCGTTCTCTGACAACCGGAGCGACAAGTCGAAATGGAGGCTATTTGCTTAGCCATGCCCCGAAATTCTACGAGAAATTCGTCGAAGCCTTTGGTGCTACAGCTGCTAAGCAAATCGCAAAATTCTGCGACCAGACACTCGACGAGCTTATGGAGGTCGCTAAAGCCGAGAATCTTCTTCAGATCAGTGAGATAAGAGAGGTCACTACGGTCTTGAGCTTCGAAGATGTGGATGGATTCGAAAGCTCTTGTCGATCGGTTCGAATGTATGAAGAGGCAGTTCCTGACAGGAAGGAAAAGTATACCATCATCGACGGTGAGGCCGCAATGAAGGTAAGGCATCCCAGGGCCATTCAATTATTTTTGGTAGCCACTTGCTTATTTCTTTCATTTCACAGAAATACAACCTCAAAAAGAGCGTTGGTGTTATTTCTGTCAAGGCCCATGTCTTCTGGCCATACAAATTGGTCACAAACCTTCTGCAACAGCTTCTTGCAAAACATCAGGAACAATTCTCAGTCGAAACCAATACACCAGTGACTTCAATCACGCTTTCAAAGGATGGTGATGCCAAATACCCCTATATCCTCACTACTCCGCGCGGTGTAGTCAAAGCGGCGAAAATCCTTCACTGCTCCAATGGGTTCAGTGGACACCTTCTGCCTAAATTGAGGGGACCTATCTTCCCGTGTCGGCTATCTATGTCAACACAAAAGCCCGGCGCCCAGTGGGAAAACCGCCCCTACGCGTGGCTCTTTCACACGAAGCAATCCTGGGACCCAAGTACCACACTATCCGAGCTAGGTCTGTTCTGGATGCAGCAGAATGCCAAGTCTGGTGACCTTTTCGTGGGAGGGGACATACAGAGAATTGATGACTATTTGTCTTCGGACGACTCTCTCATCAGCGCAGATTCTGTGAACAATCAAACCACGATATTGCCGAAGAGACTTTTCGAGAAGGGGTGGAACAACCCTATGACGAACAGCACGTTATCTTCTGCCACTGCGATGCACCGTATGTGGTCCGGAATTATCGCCATGACAGCTGATCAAGTTCCAATCGTGGGAGAAGTACCGAAGTCCATAAGTGGAAGGAAACTCAATGGAGGGGAGTGGATCGCGGCCGGGTTCAATGGATACGGCATGTGTCAGGCCTGGTTATCCGGTCAAGCTATTGCTCGTATGGCGTTGGGAGAGCCAAGGCCAGAATGGCTCCCAGAGGTTTACCTGAGCACAGAGAAGCGTCTTGGAGACGAGACAAAGATGGGCGCTAAGGCTGCCTTGGCATCTTTCTTCTCCAGGTAATCTGTGACTATCGGAAACAAATAGTATTGTTGTTGTCGCCCGATTGGGCCTCGCGTGCAGGGTGCAAGTACTATATCTTACAACCTGCCATCCTGTCCTTTTTGTTTGTTTTTGTCTCTCTTGTCTTTTTGTCTCTATGTCTGCTCTCTTCAGACTTATCATCTCGCGTCAAATGCACTTGTTTTATGAAAAAGAAAACAGGCCTTCATCACATACTAGTTTAATTGGGGAACCAGTACTAGTAGATATCGCAGGATGCAACGACTATGATCGTACTGATGTGCTATATTGTCTAACTGCTAGTTACGTGTAGCAGAACATCCTTATCTGATCATGGTATTGCTACTATTTAGTAGTACTACCAACATTCAAAGGTAAATAAAGCAGTACCTACTAGTACTGGTAGGTAGGTAACTTGCTTCCAAGGTTTGAAGTGATCTATGGCTACATTTCCTTTTTCAAGACTGTCTCTTCTCTTCAAGTCTTTTTTCTTCTTTTCTTAACGGCTCCTTCAAGTTATTTTAGTGCCTCATTCCACCTGATAGTAATCATCAATTTGTGATGACCCGGAGGACCATTAAATTTGCGATTATTTAATGCACAGCCGAATATTGAGAATTCCTATTTGGGCGAAGTGGTTTAGAACGTGAACCAAAAAGTCGGGTTGTCCGGAAACTTTGCCAAATACTATTGAATCACGCAAGAAACTTGAAATTTCTGTAAGTTCCGTGAACCGGGACAAGCTAGGCCCAAGACTGGATTTTCGATAGAAAACCTGCGGATCATTTCTTCATATTCGGAGCCGAAGATATAATACAGTTTAATGAAGATATAGTCCGCCTCGCGGTTCCGCGGCTCCGCATCTCCGAGGTCCCGGTAGAAGGAGCCTTTGGAGAAGACCTCGGGCCAATGGTAATAGATCAGATAGCAACAAGGTACTTTATCTTACCTAGTCACGTATAAAGCAGAATTGCAAGCTGTAAACGCAAGAGAGGCAATAAACCCATCACAAAAGGCTCGGAACCGTTTCAAAGATGTTGGACTTCGATATTATAATTGTGGGCACCGGAATTTCCGGTATCAACTTCGCTTATCGTCTAAAAGAGCGTCATCCGTCTCTCAGTTACTGTATCCTTGAAGACCGCCACGAAATCGGTGGAACATGGAGCCTTTTTCAGTATCCTGGTAAGACCTTACCCCCGCCGAGTTATTACAATCGTACCCTCTTTTGACGACTTCAAATAGGTATCAGGTCAGACTCAGACCTATACACCTTCGGATTTGCATGGAATCCCTGGACTGGAAAGAATTCTATCGTTCATGGCTCTCTGATACGCGACTATATCGAGGAGTCCGCTGTCAAAGAAGGCATCGACAGCAAGATTCGGTTCGGCCACAGAGTGAAAGGAATGAGATGGTCGTCATCCTCAAATTCATGGACTTTTGATATTACAGTCAATTCCGCCGCCGAACGCCTTTCCTTGACTAGTCGCTTTGCGTTTCTGGGCACAGGCTACTATGACTACCAGAAGCCTCTCGATGCAAAAATCCCAGGGCTTTCCAACTTCCAAGGAAAGGTCATCCATCCACAATTCTGGCCCACCGACTTCGACTATACGGACAAGAAGATTGTGATTATTGGCTCTGGCGCTACGGCAATTACATTGCTTCCCTCGCTCGCCAAAAGTGCACAAGTAACCATGCTTCAGCGCTCGCCTACTTACATCGCATCTCTTCCAAGCGAGGGTGGATTCGAAGCATTTGCTTTGAAATTCCTACCGGGGTTCTTAGCAAACCGGCTGATTCGCCTGAAATGGATGCTATTTTCTTTCTTCATGGTGTCTTTCTGTCGTCTTTTTCCTCAGATGGCTAAGGCCTTTCTCCTACGCAGGACGGCCAAGCTTCTACCCCCGGGCATGAACCTCGAGCCAGACTTCATTCCTTCATATAATCCCTGGGAGCAGCGTTTATGTTTGTGTCCGGATGGTGATTTCTTTGATGCTATCAAGAGTGGAAAGGGAAGTATTAAAACTGGGAGGATCGAGAACATCACAGCGTCGGCTATAAGATTGACATCTGGCGAGGAATTGCATCCAGATATTATCGTGACAGCGACTGGGCTCAAATTATCAACTGGGGGTGGCATTGGGATTACTATCGACGGGAAGCCATATGAGATCTCGGATCACTTTACCTGGAGAACTGCAATGGTGGAAGGGTTGCCTAATGTAATGTTATCGTGGGGCTATGTCGACGCGAGCTGGACACTTGGTGCGGATTCTACTGCGCAGCTGGCATGTCGGTTGTTGGCAAAAATGAAAGAAGATGGTGTATCGGCGATAGTTCCACGAATGACGGCCGAGGAGAGAAATAGCAGTAGGTTCGAAGAGCGCCCGTTTCTTCGATTAAAAGCGACATATGTGAAGGAAGGTGGGAGTGAGTTCCCCAAAGCCGCCTCCATAGCTCCGTGGCAGCCACGTTCGTATTTCTGGAGAGATATCGCAATCTCACGGTGGGGTGACATTGAGACTGGGCTGGAGTGGTTGAAATACTAGTAGGCCTATTACACCTCTATTAGTATTACCTAGGTACTAGTACTAGTTAGTTGGAAGGCAACCAGTCCTAGTTGGCATGTTAACCTTGAAGTTGCCATGTAGCGTCACTGGGTATACATTCATGTGATCTTATCAAGTATATACAAAGATGCAAATATTTCCATCAAAAACAAGCATTATTATGCACAACACATCCACCAACCGTTCTCCTACCCCCTCAACGGCAAAACCTTAGCCAAAAGAACCTCCTGCCGACAAAGCGGACACTCAGGCTTCTCCCTCACCCAGTCCCTCACACAAGTCCAACAGAAAACATGCCCACAAGTCGTAACGCTAGGATCCTTAAAAACCTCCAAACAAAGCGTACACTTCCGCTGCTGGCCCTCCGGAATCCAAGACACCGCACCAGGCTCCTCTTCCAGGTCATATCTAGCAGCCGAAGCAGGTAGCAATGGAACCGCGGCAGGATGCTGGATGGAAGTAATCAGACCACTGCCTTCAGAACGATTCCCATCGCCCGCAGCGAGGGCCGGGTCGTCCTCGGTAACGGAGGCACTGATCTTGCGAACGTGCAGGAACCCCTGGACAGCAATTTGGAGGACCATCAAGACGCCGAGGACTTCGTAGCCGACGCGCTGCTCGTTTGGGTCGATTTTCTTCGTGAAGACGTAGCGCAGACGCCAGATGCGCTTTGCGAGATGGTAGTAGCTGCCTGTGAAGTAGAAGGTGATTATGCTGAGGGCGTATATTGGGGAGACGGATGTGAGGGAGTCGAGATGTTCGAGGATATATTGCTGGAGACGTAGCTTTGTGAAGAAGCGGCGGGCGGGCGAAGACGAAGACGAGGGCGATGCTGATGATGATTTGGGAGCATCGGGGGTGGAGAGGGTTGGTTTGTTTAGGAGGGTTGCTTGTTGTGCGGCGCGGAATTGCTGCTTTGCGATGCTGCGTTCTAGTTTAGCGCGGATGCGTTGGCGAAAGGATGGTAGGGCTCGTTGTAAGGTCCATGGAACTAGGATCGTGCTGAGGATGTAGCCGACTCGTCGGGTTATGGCTGGTAGGCGGAGGGTGTCATCTTCTAGTTGGACGAGGTCGCAGTATTCTTCGCCAAGGGTGCGGTTGCCAATGGCGGTTGTCAGGGTGAAGTAGATGAGTTCAGTTATGTGTTTGATGGAGTTCGAGTGTGCATGAGCGTAGCGGGCTCCGCGAAGGGCGCGCACGATTGATTGGGCTTGTTGAACGAGACCACCCGTGCAGAAGGCATCTTTTTCGTGGGAACGGATGATATCCGGGGATGTTGCGAAGGGGTAGAAGTGGGAGGTTGAGGAGCCGAGGGAGTCGGTGTTGGGTGTGGAGAGGGAGAGATGGGGGTCGTCGTCGGCCATGGTGAGGGAGGTGTGATGGTGTGAATGGTGAAGATGTAATTGACTGGATGTATGTTACACTGACAACAGTGAATTCCCAGCTGTTTCGCACACAACACACACAGCAGAGTGCAAGTGAAGCTTCCCCGGAGACAAGATGGAGATGGCCGATCCCCGGACTTGCCCACCGCGACAGCCGAGGCAGAGGGTCACGGTCACCTGATACATTATCACCTGATGAATAATCACATGATCTATTACCTAATTGGTCGCACCTGGCAGGCACCAGCCACAACCAGCCACAGCCAGCCACCAAAACCTTGCCTGTTCATGAAGAAAGACTTTTGTGGAAAGTACAAAAGTACATACTCCTTACTGATACTCTGCGTTTTTCACCTTCATTTTCAGTACTCGACTCCAATGGACGGCATCTACTACTAAGTATGTGTACACAAGCGAGCATGTACAGTACCTTTCGAAATTGATGCTATTTCGGCAAACACAGGCGAAGACTCTCAACCAGTGAAAAGACGCAGCCAAGTGGGTGCAGGGATCACCATGATGCCATAGTGGGTTTAGCGACTCCCTTTGGAAGACCTGGACGCGCCCCTGACTGTCGATCGCTGCGGATCTTTGCGCGCGCATGGCCTGGCGACCGCTCTGGTGTAGCGAAAGCATCTCCACTGGGCCCAGACTAGTCGCGTTTGAGTCGAGTGTTGCGTCCGCAGTGGCCCCGACCTGCCTACTCCGTGGACTGTGGATTAACCAGTGGACTGGCTGGACTGGCTGGACTGGCTGGACGTGGACTGCTGTTGCCCGCCCTATTGACTGTCTGCGGACTGCATGCTTAATAACCCCGAAAGCGGACGCGGCAACCGTTTCAATCCAACCCCAATCCAATCTATTCTGATTCTTTTGCTTCCTCACCCCTAGTCATTCGTTTTCTTCTTTTTTTGCTACTGTTGACCCCACGGGGATTTTACTTTGACTTAATCACATCTACTTCCCCTTGACCCTTTCTCCCTCTCATCCATGGAATAATGGGGCCAGATCAACATGCTCAATTGGATGGCTTTGGGCGGACCTTCCCATTCCCCATCCGGGTAGCTGCCCTTATGGTAGCCGGTACGTTGGGGATTTCACTTATACCTTGAAGGGTCAGAGTCAACTGCTAACATCTATCCTTTACAGGTTTCTGGGGATGGGCCATAATCCTCCAATACCTCGAAAGGACCGACATTGTAAGTGTCCCATGGCGTACCCGCAATCCGCGCAATCCGGAACCCCTCTTGGATCAAATCAACATGGCCAACATTCAACACCGAAACCACTGATCATATGAACTGCCTTCTAACTAATCGTCCCTCTCTTGCTTTAGAAAATTCACGATCTGGTCGGATATCCTTCCTCCACAAATCCACGACACCACACCGCCGCCTACCGCCTTGCTACCATCTTCACCATTCCCCTGGCCATCTGGCAAATCGCCTTCTGGATCGCCACACGCCGGGAATTCAAGCTGGTCGAACATTTCGATTTCATTCCACAATCCGTATTCGTCATCCTTCTCCTCATTCTCATATGGCCACTCAACAGAGCCGCCCGGTCCGGCCGCGTACGCTTTCTCCTGACTTTAAAGCGGGTTGCTATCGGCGGTCTGGCCGAGAACGCAGAGGCCAAGTTCGGTGATATTCTGCTGGCAGATGCCCTGACTAGCTATGCCCGCGTGCTTGCCGACCTATACGTGTCCTTCTGTATGTTCTTCACCGATGGCTGGCACTCCACAAACAAGCCCAACCGGGCCTGCGGAAGCGAAATCGTCGTACCGATCATTCTGGCCGTCCCGAGCGCCATCCGACTCCGTCAGTGCTTGACCGAATACTTCCGGGCTCGTCGTGCACCCGCACGACGTGGGGTGCCCAGCAAGGCAAACCAACATTTGGCCAACGCCTTGAAATATGCCACTGCCTTCCCCGTGATTTGGCTGGCCGCCAGGCTTCGCAACTATAGCCCTCTGACTTTCCATGGCTACAGCGAGGTCTCTATTATGCGCCTCCTGTAAGGAATTCCCCCTCCCCGCATTTGAATTCACATAGCCCGGCCTCTAATCTTGCACCTCTCTCAGATTCATTGCCTCATTCGTCAATTCCAGCTACTCCTTCTGGTGGGATGTGGTTAAGGATTGGGACCTGACCCTTTTCTCCTCCGAACGCTGCGATTCGAGCCACCCCTACGGCCTGCGATTCAACCGCTGCTTCCACTCCGATCGCTTGTATCACCTGGTGATCTTCGCCGACCTTGCCCTCCGATTCTCTTGGCTGTGGCGTATCCTCCCAGGCCTCTCATGGATCACCGAGACAGAATGTGGTCTATTCATCCTGATGTTCCTCGAAGTAGCTCGTCGGTGGATGTGGGTGTTCTTCCGAGTCGAGGCCGAGCACTGTATGTTTCACTACCCGCTATACCCTCCCGCGTTACGAAAATAGACCCGAACCGCCCATTGCGGTTTCGGATTTATGAGTCCGATGACCTGATTAGCTAACAATAATGTCTCTCGTGCAACAGTCCGGAACAAGTTCGGTCCCAATTATGAAGAGATCCGCCTTGGCGAATCGAACGGCAAGATCGACAAGGATTGAGTGTTTTGTCAAAAAGAGAAACACTTGAATCCTAGGTTATTATCTGCCTCGTTGAGAATCGCACTCTACCGCAATTCACCTTCGACCAACACACTTGAAAACGAGCATGAGACACAGAAATTTTCCTTTTATTTTTCCCACTTTACATCCCACCGACCACCCCCTCCAACAAATACCCTCTAGAACACTCATAAAGATACGAGACGAGATCCGGTTCTCCGAAATGTATACCCGGTATCTGGAAAGCGCATTGATTCCACCTATTTGCCTACTGTCCATTATTCATTATCCATTTTCCGATCGATACTTGATTTGTTTACCCTCGGGTTCCTTTCATTTGAACCGCCACTCTGCCAGGCTGGGCATCTTTCCCTTTTTTTTATCCCCCGCTTTCCCCACTGTTTGGAATCTCGATTCGATTAGGGTAGTGTTTCGGCTTTTTCAATTTGTTTCGTCATTTTTCGAGTCGGGTGGGGTGGCATGCATGGAATGGAGCCGGAGGTGTTTGCGAGTCAATTTTTGACACCTTTTCGTTTGGACCTCACTTTCCAAGGGGTAGCACTGATTGGGCATCGACGGGCTTGACTTGCCTTTGTACATATACCTTTCCTTTTTTTTTTGTCTCGCTTTCCTTCCATCGGTGATATTTTTCTTTCGCGCTTTTGGGGAAGCTTGCTGGGTTGCGAGTGAATGTACTATATGGGTCCAAAGGACTTCGGTTCTTTGCTAATGGGATTTCGATATGATTCGCCATGGATGTCGATTAATTCGTAGTACTTTTCTCCAGCGCTATCTATCTCCTGCAGCTTGAAGTTATTCGCCAGGTGCCAGACCCTAACCACCTTGGCAGATTATGGAATTTTTTACTTAGCTTAAGAGCTGTACTAGACGTCATTAGTCTTTCTTTAAGGAAAAGTATTGACTAGTAGCCCAGGACTTCTTCACATCATTCTTTCACTCCAGGTTTAAAGAAGCGCGGTTGACCCGAGAAATCTTATAGGTGCATCCCTCAACTGGATATGACTCGGACCAGTGTATGATGATCGTTGTTGCGGATCGGAAAACGTGTGAAGAGGTCTGGGTGTTGTTCTTGGCTGTGAATCAGAGGGGAGAGGTTCTTCCTCCATTCCGGATTCATGAGAGCGCTGATTTGGCAGCTCAGCTGATATTTAATTACCTGGATGGAGAATGTCTGGACGAGAATGCTGTGGATTCTAAACAGGATATCGAATATTATATGCGTGGGGGCGATGGCTGGAATTGCTGAGGCTGCTCTGTCAAATGGTAAAACGCTCTGTCGGAATTAGCATCCATAGATGTAATTTCTGCATCCCCGATCAATCTTGAGGTTATTTCCGGTTTTTTGACTAGATATCTGCACCGAGCCATTATCCGCTTCAATCGTTCTGAGCTCGTATAGTAAGACCGTTCCTTCGGGTGCGGAGCATATTTACTATGGACGCAAAGGCCGGTTCAAGGATAACTGAGTTAACGCCCAATTATGATATTTGATTCACTAGTTCGTTTGAACGATCAAAATACTCGGTTGGTCGTGAGTAGTATCAGAACATTTTGTGACTCATTTACCATGTCTGCTGACGCTCCCAAGGCGGCCGTGGCCCCTTTTTTGTAGAGCCGCTCGGCCCTGGGGGGCCAGAAAAACTTTCCTCATCTTGAACGACATGTGGCTTTCTTGGGTTTAAAAATTATCTTCGAACAAAATGCAGCGGAAATCTTCACTCTATTTTCCACCCGAAGTGGTGGAAATTATTGTCGGGTATCTAGCCTTTGAAAACCCTCCGACGCTTTTGAACTTTGCCAAGGCCAGCAAGACATTCTACGCATGCTGTCGCCCGGCGATCAAATCCATAAAATTCCATGATATCAATCTAGTGGTTTCTCTTCAACCAAAAGAGGTAGTAGAGGATGTGAATCGCTTGATTGAACGACTCAAAGTCGAGGATGGTCTCCGCTACGTTCGCCAGCTTATCGTCCAGCATCCAACCCATCGCGCCAAACGGCTCGACTGGGAGCCGCCTCGAATGTCTGAACTACGATGTGACAAACCGATGGAAACATACACGACGCAATATGAAAAATGGATAGAATCCTTCGAGAGGGATAGCCCGATTTATAATCGTCATTCCTATGAGGGAATGGACAGCCGTGCTTCTCAGGCGGTCGTTAAACTGATCAAAATACTTCCGGGCTTGACTGATTTAATATGGAGTCGAAAAACTCATCCTTCGCCATCTATACTTGAAGCATTGCATCAAGATCTGCCACAGTGTCGTCTTCAACTGGATAACATGTTTTATTTTTGCACTCTTCACCCGGAAGACCACCCACTGATAGAAGATCCTGACTTTCTTACATCTCCATCTATCCACTCTTTCAAGATTGGATATTATGACTATCCCTACAACCACTCTTACCAAAAAGTTTTACGTTTCGCGGGGCTCCCTCCTAATCTCAAAAAGGTTCGATTGAGATGTGTTCCTAGGGGTGCTTTCTTGGGACCAGAACATTTTCAGTCAGGTACTGCATCATTGGAGGCTCTGCAATTTGAGTTTTGGCAGATGTTCCACCCACTGCGTCTCTACGAATGGAGTTATGCTACGGACTTTTCGGTCCTGCAGGTTCTTAAGATTCATGCTGAACTGGCAGATGAGACGTTTGATATTTGGAAAGAGACGGGGTTGTCATCATTCCCATCTTTAAAGGTTCTTCGTCTGAATTTTGGACCTGGCCGCTATGGGTCACGAGATCCTCGTCCGGTGCAGTTTTATGATGGTGCTTGTGAATTCCTGCAGAAATTGCCGCCCTTAACCGAACTTGAACTGAACAATTGGCACTTACGAATTGACATTGATTCTCTCGTCGATACCCATGGGTCTCATTTGCGCAAGCTTAAGCTTGGGACGCCCGCAGCTTGGCAGGTTGTGAGCAGGGATCAAATTCGTAAAATCAGCCAAAAGTGCACATTGCTCGAGAATTTAGAACTTGGGATTGACGGTGCACAAAGCCACGCTGAGAAGTCCGAAGTCTATGCTGCTCTGGGGTCGATACGAAATCTCCAATGCCTTGATCTCCACATTGAAGTCGCCCTGAAAGGGCTACCTACGTTGCCTAGAGTTGAAGTTACCTCTTCATCACAAGGTTTCACCGGAGTGGGATCTGAGATGCCCAGTGATCCTTCATTCGACGAGTTTGAGAATGAGTTTCTCAATAAAGAATTCCTCGACGAAGAATCGGGCACGTCTCTCAGACTTCGAAATGGCCATGTGCGGAAGGTGATAGTTGACTCTATAGTGGACGAAAAGCTTGCCCTTCAAATTTTCCAAAGCATCTCCGAAGCCAATCCGCAAAGTCCACTTCTTTTCAAAGACCTTACGATCACAGTGCATGGTGCTCATTCACCATGGTTCGTCAACACTTTCTCCAGTAATTGGCGTGTGAAGAGGGATTCTCATATTGGTCGTCGTGAGAAGTTGATAGCTCGAGAAATTGAACTGTTGAAAGGATGGCAGTCTGCAGGAGGAAGACATGATCATCTTGATCCGAGCTGGGAGCCTATATTTTATCGACTGTTTCCAGCAGCAAAACCCAAAGGGCAGCCTCGAAAGATATCAAAGAAACTGGCGGCCAAGCGGGAGAAGGAACATAATTTAGCTATCCCGACGTGGAGGCGTTATTTACATAGTTTCGATGCTTCGGCAACATAGCATTGATATTAGTAGCCTGTTCCGATTGTCTTTGCAGGGTGGAAATGCGAGATGGAATAGTGAAAGAAAATTCTAAACTTAGCTTTTCATTCTCGAGGGAGAAGCTTTGCAACGATCTTGCTTATAGTAATTGGTAGATACCGTCTTAAGCTGAATCGATGACATTATAAACTAAAATTGACTGTCCGTACGAGGTGTAGCGAGGAAGCAAAAAGGACGACACAAGTTTCCATGAGCACGTGACTAATTCTAGCCATGGTGAATCGCCTACCAGAGGATTGATTATCTTAGAAGCTGCTGTAATACCAAGCAGTAAGGCTTCTAGGCCTGTTTGCTACATATAAATCCTTGTTACTTACTTCTGCCAAAAGAAGGTTGTTAGATCCGTAATTTATTTCAATCTCAAAAGCTCTAAAAAGACAAAATCATTGAGCGCGCAATCGCCTTGAACGAAACAGCGGAGGTGCTTCGGGAGCTTTCTGACAAGTCCCCCCTACGTCCTCGTATCTGCCCGGGTGGCTTTACTACTAGAAGTGTAAAGTAGTACGATCATATTCAGTTAGAACCCTTTTCTAGGTTGACAGTAACAGCTCAGTCACGTTATGATCAAAAATGTCAACAATCGTAGTATTTAAGTAGTATTGACGGGAAATCTAAGCATGAAAAGGAAAGAGAAGAACAAGGGGGCGGATAAACCAGAAAGAACTAGATACGCAGATAATTTACCCAAGGCCTGAGGCCTAAGTCTACATGCAAACCTGTGATTCGTCCTATAGATGGTTTGTTCCAAATATCACACTTGCGAAGTGGAATCTCCGCCTCGAGATGTGCCTTCATCTTTCATAGACTCAGTGACACGTCCATCTGGATAACAATGGCATGTCTTTTCTATCTACTGGTGCCCTTTTTGCCAATGACTTTGAATTTGACAACTTTCTCATCGTCCTTTGGGTTGTGTGAGGATTGGTGAACTGTATCTTTGCCTTTATGACTCTTCTTGGAACCCTTCTTGGAGCCCTTCTTGGAGCCCTTCTTGGAACCTTTTCTAGAACTTCCTTTGCCATATTTTGTCTCACTTTTTAAGTTAGTATTTTCCAATGTAGAAAATGTTTGGAGATAGATTGAAGACTCACAATATTTCGATACTTCGATATTCCCCGAATTTCTGTGGAATTTGATTTTTCAGTTAGTAAAAGGTCTCTTATGTAACATGTTGCTGAATTCCTTTTTCTGCTGCTTGAGAGATATAGAGACAGCCATTATGGGTAAATTCACTCCTAGTGCTGTCTCTAAGGCTTGATAGATTTGGATACTATAAAGCACATTTTATCCAAGTCGATATCCAAGTTGATAATATAGAGGTATCGGGAGTATAATTTCATATTCGTACGAATAGATAGATAGGTGTTTATATCTTGTCGACAGTGAATCATACCGGCAATTGATGTTCCATTAACCCGGTATCCTACCAGACAATACACTCAGTACCTTAAACACGTAGAATCAAGCAATTTGTATACGTAGAATAGCTTCCACCGATGGCTGGGATATCCTTGATATACTCTGCTTCAAGGTCTTGCTATGTCTCGAAACTTATAGTTATGGGAAAATGATGTTATTTATGTACAAAGTATATTCAGTTTAAGTTGATATTCCTCTTAAGAATGTAAAAGAAACATTGTCTAGCAAGAATTTGTGGAGACGAAGGTGAACTTGAAGCTACCTACCTAGGTAGGTATATACTAGGGAAGGGGCGGGGGGCGCCTGAGGCAGTGGACGCCTAGAGCACTTACCCTCAACACCATTCACACATGGAAGTCACCTGCAATACAACTTGAACTTCCAAGATTGAACTTTCTCTCTTCCCATATTCCAAACTCTCGAGTCTCTCGACACCATTTACTCCCAACCGCAGCATCCTTCAAGTTTGATTCCATAACAATGAGCGAGCCATCCCAAGGAAGTACAGAGCACTTTGTAACCAAGTAAGTATCTCTAGGCTGGGATATCTTGGGAAAGCGGTTTTCTGAAAACTGTGGTATCATGATCCAGGGTCCTTCCCCTCTATCAGGGCCCTTCCGTCAAAATATGCCTCCAGCCTAGCAACAAGGAATACGTGATTTCGAAAAGTCTCCTCTGCGCAGAATCGCCAGTCTTCTCGAAAATGTTCAACGGCGAATTCCTAGAGTCACAGGAGCAGACGGTCACTCTGGAAGAGACCGACGACGATGTCTCAGTGCATAGCCTCGAAGCACTTATTCAATGGCTGTATCGACGCACTTTCGACTTGGATATCGGAGGCCCGGAAGAACATATCTCGGCCCTCCTGAGACTCGCAAGATTTGCGGACAAGTACTCAATTACCGGGATAGAAGAAAAAATCGTGCCCTTTATCAAGGACACCATAGTATCCAACCCGCATCCAAATTCCAACAGACACGGCCGAGACATCGATCACAACACCTATTGTCTCACACGAGATCATCTTGTTTCAGCAAGCTTTTTGCCGAGCAGGCATCCGGTGCGACGTGCTTTGGCTTCAGCATGTGTTGAAGGTTTTCTTCGCAGCAGAGATCACAAGTTTAACGGAGAGATCCTGGCTTGCCCCTCTTTCGGAGCTGACCTCCTCAAAGAGATTCAGAGTGCCCTGTATACCCTGACACCTACGAATGAGGTCACTGTTGAAGATCCTATCAGCGGGAAAAGATTTCGTTTCGATTTGAACAAAGTCTAGTTAGATCGAACCAGTTGCGTGGATGGAAGTTGCCCACGGGTCCTCGTCGAGGGCGAGCGTTTGTGTGTACGACATCGATTTTAATCTAAATCTAAGAATGAAAAGCCCCTGGCAAACTTGAAGTTAAGCTCCAGTTTCAAAAAAACCAGTAGTGGAACTTTCACGATAGATGAAGTTTCATTGACACCAATGGGGTATCGAAGACTGCTAAGTTTAAAATATGAATCACTCAACCTTGGAAGACGAATCCAGAGGAAGAAAGAATGATATTTGTGCATGACCAGGTAGTAGGAACATTCAAAAGGCCGATGAGTTATATAAAGAAAATAGCACGCTGATAGAACAAAACGAAAAGAAAAGAGGAGAGCAGAAAAAGAACACCATAAACACCTTTCGAAAAAACAACAAGCACTAGATAAATGTAAAAGATCAAACAACTATAGCACACATGAAAGAAGAATCAAAACATAAAAAGTAAATCGCAAAACAATAAATGCTCAATCAAACCCGTCGAATATCATATCGTCCCTGTCATAAGTACCATGCTACATTACACAGACAAACCCTCACACCCTACCTCTCCCGCCGATCCGACCGACGCGGCGGCGGCGAACTATGATTCTCAAAAAGATCCTCCAGATACGCACTCGGCGCCCGGCCTTGCTGCACCTGACTAAGATTCAACGAACTGGTCGACGCACCACCATACGACTGCCGCGGCGGCGCATCATAGTACGTCCCAGGCCCCGTCGGCGGCAAAGAAGGCGAAGAACCATTAGGCGGGTATCCCGCACCACCACCCGCACCCGGCGCACCACCAATCGAGTCCCTGGTCGAGTTATTACCAGCAGCAGTATAGAATCCCGGCGGGAGGTACGTCGAGCCACGATTATTCGTCGCGCCGAGACTATGGTGCGATCCGGCCGCTGCGCCTGCGCCCGCTCCGGCACCGCCAGCTGTCGGCGAGTAAAAGAGGCCGCTGCCGCCGCTGGGGCCGCGCTTGGAGGAGGGCTTGTAGCTTGCGCGGGTTGCTGCGCCGAGTTTTTCTAGGGAGACGTCGGTCGCGGGGGCCGGGGCGTAGACTGTTGAGCGCTTCTTGCGGCTTCCGCGGAGGAGGCGCTTGGATTCGGATTGGGCCATTGCTGCGCGGCGGACGGAGCGGTTTACGGACCATGCGACCATTCCGCGCCAGGCGAGGACGGCTAAGCCGATTAGGCCGAGGCGGCGCCGACGGCGATGAAGACTGTTCCTTCTGGCGTGTTTGTTGTTTGCATGTATGGTGCATTTGCGGTCGGGGGGACGGTTACTATTGGGGCGCCTGTGGTGGTTGATGAGGATGTTGATTCCGTTGTTGTGGAAACGGATGATGTTGTGGTGTCGGTGGTTGAAGTTGAGGTTGAGGTTTCCGAGGTGGAGGTCGACGAAGTCGTCGTTGTATCCATGGTAGTGGTCGTCTTGTCCGACTTTGTGGAGGAGGAGGAGGAGGAGGAGGAGGAGGAGGTGGTGGTGGTGGTTGTTTTTCCAGTTTCGGAGGACGAGGTTGAAGTGGTTTCCTTAGCTGTGGTAGTGGTTTCGGTCACGCTAGGGGTGGTTGTGCTGCTGTCACTGGTCGAGCGATCGTCGGTGGTCTGGGCATCGGCTGTTGTCTCCGTCGTTTTATCCCCCGCCTTCTGGGCAGACACACGAGCTGCGATGACAATCACCAACAGAAAAAGAAGAATCAGTCGCGGCTGGGAATTCCCCAGCCCTCGTGGGAGAAGTCTCATGGTGACCAGACAGTAAACAATGAAATTAACGGATTCGATTCTCCACAGCGGGTCTGTGGAGTGGAATGTAGATGGACGATCAGTGTGGGTGTACAAGGCAAAGAATCTTCTGATACTCAGTTCTTTCAACGAACCCTTATCCCTGCTCCTCGCTGCCCTGGCCCGTAAAGGGGATCGTAATTCGTCCTGGCTGACAGAAAGCCTGGTCGGTGCGGTGCCTGTGTTCCTGGCAGATCAGGGGCTTAACGCACAGTTTACAGGCCGCAGTGTGAGAGGTAGACCATCGAGGGTCGGCAGGTAAAACGAATGACTATCCCAGAGTGGGAAACAACGAGCGTTAGGGGATTAAGAAAGGGAGAAAAGCTGCTTGGGGTAAGCGAGAATTGGAAGGAAGCGAAAAGACCAAACCAGTTGAGGCAAAGCGAGACGAGATTGGCAGCCTCAGGCCAAACTCTGGGGTAGTGTCACATGATATCCTAGTATAGCATAGCAAAGCATCGCAACGCAGTAAGAATTTGTTGAACATATTATATCATACATGAAAATACGCAACAATAAATGTACCCCTGGACCCGAAAAGAAACAAGGAAATTTGATAAAAACATGCCACGTGCAAGGTATAAGTCTAGCTTTAGCCCACCTACTCACTCCGATCACTGCTGTTTCTTCGCGGCGGCGGAAGTGTCCTTTTCAAACGCAGCGTAGGGGACTTGAAGGCTACTCAGAGCACTGACACCAATATACAAAATGGTGACAAAGAAGAAGGTTGCAATCAGACCCATAAAGATACCTGTTAAAAACGTTAGAAGGGATCGACAAACGAAGCCAAGGAGGGGCTACGAACCGGGAGTAAAGAATTGGTATTCGTCAAACAGGGAGATCCTGCGGTCTGACTCGGAATCACTGGAGTCGGACTTGTAGGAAGAGTAGTCCCGCTTCAGGTCCATGTGGATGGGATCCAGGTAGCTAGAGCCAGCTCCATCGGACTCGTAGATCACAGAGTCGGACTCGGGGAACTCGCGAGGCGAAGTAACGTAGAGGAGAGTATACTTGGACTTGGGGGGGAAGACGGTCAATGATATCGGAGATGAGGCCATCTGTGGACGGTTAGAGTCAGAACAAGTTCATGATTATCCTTCCAGAGTAGGATAGCATCAACGTACCATTATCGGACAGCTGGCTGGCACGATCCGAGCCCAAGCTAAGCATGGGAAATTCAATGTCAATAACCCGAGGAGCCGAGTCAAAGTAAGAGGGATATTCTCCAGCTACACGCCGATGTCAGTTTGCAGCTCCCATGCATATCCCATATATCTCCTCCTGTTCCGCAACGGGTTCCGGCAGGGAGGGTGAGGCAACTCACATGAGCCGTCGATAGCAGTAGTCTCCGCCTTGCACTTCTCCTGGAGGATGTTCTTGATCTCCTTCACATCCAATAATCCCGCGACTTCATTGACGCTCATCTGCGACCGAATGGACTTGTCCTTGCCCATCATCTTCGCGCCAAGGCGGGGTGCCGACTTGCGAGTCGAGAAATCCGAGCTGTGGACACCGGGTTGGTGAACGACGACATAGTAATCCGACGGGCAGCTGCTCAGCGAAGAGCTCAAGTCGTCGAATAGTGAAGCGCTGGTCTTGATATAGGCGGAGTTGGCCAACAACCTAGGGGCGAGTGATTAGCTGGCCGTAGCTTTCGGAGGTGGGCCATGGGCCACAGGAAACAAACATACTCGGAAGTCGAGGCCAGGAAGAATGGCGAAGTATCGCGGAAAGCATCAACTGCAGCTGCCGCAAGGGCCAACAGTCCAACCCTGCTTAGATGCATGGCGTGGGTGTGTGTGGATGTGTGAAACTGGGGGAGGATGGTTAATGCCAATAGCCAACGTCAACGGGGGAGGAGTTCAGCCGCTGGTCTCGGAGGCGGTCGACAGGCCCGACCCGCCTGAGCTTCACATTCAACCCGACTTTTTTTTTTCTCGGCCTTTGAGAATATCCTATCGCACAGCGCCAGTGCGGTTTTGCTTCTTCTTATTTTCTTATACCATTGGGTTAATCTTCTGACCGACTTATTTCTTGATTGCTATTTTGTCACTATGGGCCCCTCCGTCAAACGCCGCAAGGTCTCCAAGACCGAAGAAGTCAATTTCGACCCAGAAGCCCGACAGGAATGGCTGACTGGGTTCCGCAAGCGCAAGCAGGAGCGCATTAAGCATGGACAGGCTGCGGCTGAAAAGAGATACAAGGAGGAGCGCAGACATGATCGTGCCAGGGTAAGTTCTGCTTCTTGCAGAATTCTCTGTCCCCGGGTGAAAATGCCGTCGCAGGACTAATTTCTTTTTTTTTCTCTAGATGCGCGAAGAACGTGCCGCTGAATACAAGGAAGCTTTGGAAGAGCATCAAAGGCAACTGAAGCGTCTCAAGGAGATGGACAAGCAGATTGATCGGGAGGTGAACGGCGGTACCAGCGACGCCAATTCCGACGCCGAGGAGGACGATGAGGAATGGGGCGGCATCGAGGAACCACCCGCGGTGGACTATGAGGCGGAATATATCGACGAAGATAAATACACAACTGTCACCGTGGAGGAAATGGACCCGTCGCGAGAGGGTTTACGAAAGGCCGTACGAGAGGACGACTCCGACGCGGAAGAGGAGGAGAAGAAGGAATACCCAGTCGAGGCTACCGAAGAAAACGCCGACGACAAGAAACCCAAGAAGGCGAAGAAGTATGGTGCAGACCGACCTAAGAAGGTGAATAAGAAGCGGTCGTTCCGGTACGAGAGCAAGGCAGACCGGAAAATCAACCACGCCAAGCAACGGGCATCAAAGTCCAAGAAGGCCGAGAAACGCAAAGAGAAATGATCGAGGGAAGGAAAGGAAAGGAAACTTTGGAAAGAAAAGGAAGAAAAGAGCTGGTTATTTTCTGTCGATTTATTCTTATACCACACCATATGCAAATACTGCTTGCGCATCAAATATCTATGACTTTCACGAGACGAGACGACTGGGGAGGGCACAAAAAATGGTGGATTAATTCGAGCAATTCGACCCGGTACCGTAGTCAATATGACATGTGTGCAATGGAAATGAAAGGTGTTCTCCAGCACGGTAGAAGGATGAGGAATAACGCAACCAGCCGCTGTATGATAAAAAAAGAAAACAAAGCAGACAGCTCGAAAAAGGGAAGTGAGCCTGCATCCAACCCGACGTATTCCGACACCCTCCACCGATACTCAGCGTCCTGCTTAGACGTTGCTGATGGAGACCTCCAGCTCGTGCAGGTCCTTCTCGAGCTTACTGTGCTTCTCCGACATCTCCTCGTACTTGGCCTCCCACTGGTCGCGTTCCGTCTCCAGTGCTTGCACCTTGCGCTCGTAGTGGCCGGCCTTGACGTCGGTTTGGCGGAGCCTGTAGGTTGGAAAGTTAGCTGGCTGTGGTGCAAAGCGGCAAGAGATCGTGGTAAAGATGATGCGTGGGCGTACTTCTCGTTTGTCTCGCGCAGAGTCTTGTCGTTCTCCTCCGCCTCCTCCTCGAGGAGTTGCACCCGGCGCTGGAGGGCCTCATTTTGGGTGTCGTGTTGGGCGCTCTGGTTGGCGGCGTCCTTGGCGTCCTTAACGGAGGACTCAAGCTTCTCAACTTCCTCCTCGAGGAGCTGGTTGCGGTGGTTGAGGGATGTGATCTCCTGCTCCTTGGAAAGGCTCTCCTGCTCCAGGGTCTTGACCTTGGCCTTCAGCTCCTCGACGGCATCGTGAGCCTCGTCAGCCTCCACGCGGAGGGCGTTCATACGCTATTGGCGAAGCTGGTGATTAGCATCGTGTGATTATGCTCGGCAGTGCAGATGCAGGACTAATATGCAGGGCACGGAAGGGGAACGGTGCAAGGTGCAAGGTGCAAGGTGCAAAGGGCAAAGGGGACAGCTTGTCAAGCTACCCCGCCAGGGAAGGACAGGGGGGGGCCAAAACACATACCTCCTTGATCTTGTCCATTTTGAGTGAAGTATTTGAGAGATGTAGGATGGGTAGGAAGAAAGAAGATGGAAGTTAATATGTATGGGTGAAAGGAAGTCAAGGCTGTCGCTCAGCGTAGCCGGTTGGTTGGAAATGGTGGGGGGGGGAAGAGGGAATATCCTTTGGGCCAGAATTGGGAGAGAAGGGGCCAGCGATGGAGCAGGGGGGGAAGCATGAGGCGGTAGACAGTACTCGCTTACTCACTATAAAATACGCTGTAACACAAGTACTCGGTACTTGCCCAATGTGGATGTACACAGGCCACAATAAATGTATTGTGGCCTTAATCAGGCCTTAGGAATCAGGCATCAGTTGTACACAAAGCCCCCGTGTCAACCAGCCAATCACCGCCTTCCGATCGCCGCGTCTCCACGGGCAACCACGACCTTCACTGACAGATGGGATGCTCTAGAACAGAGCTTCCTTCACTCCTCCAGACCTTCAAGACCGAGACACTTCACACAATACCCAAGAAATCAAGTGCTGTGCATGCTCACAGCATATACCTTCTCGCCGCCATGCTGGCTATCCGTGACCAGGAAAACCTGGTAAACACTCACCAAACCGCCGCCGCCGCCAAGCCTATGAACCAAGGCATGAGACAGCTTGCTCCCAAGACTCCCGGCAGACAGATCCCTCTTCGAGACGAAAACAATCCGTTGGCATTTGGCAAGAATACAGTCAAGGGAAATGGAGCTCGTCAAGATAATGGCAAGCCCGGAAAGCTGGCCCCAGTCACTCCCATGGGTACGCGCGAATTCCGTGTTTTGATATTACTCGAATAGACCCAAGCTAACTGAAATGTGCTGCTAGAACCTCGAAACCGTGCTCCTCTGGGTGTCAAGACAAACAATCAGAAAGCCAGAGCTCCTCAAACACCCGCTCCATTTGGAGGAGCTTTGAAGCCAGGAAACACGAACCGACGCGCTTCCACCGTGCGCAAGAAGACCGGTCCTGTTCTCCAGCAATCCCAAACAAAGGTCTTTACCGAAGCTCCTCAAGATGACGTACCAGATATTGAATACATGCCACCCAAGCCGAAAGGTAAGACCTGGATATTTCGAGTGGAGTTAGCCGAAAAACGCGCGTATACTGATAAACTTTCCAGATCTCCCGGACCTTCCAGACGATATCACATACGACACAACCTTCCCTCAGTTCCGACCAAGGAACCGCGCACTCGGACTGGAAAGTGTGTACGGCAAACAACAAGTCGGCCGCGATGGCCTCACCCAAAGGCAACGGAAATTCCGCGAGGACTCACTGAGATGCGATAAGATGGCCGAGGAAATGATCATGAAGCAGCTGGACACAATCACCCTCAATGAGCCCAGCGAAGACGAATTGATGAAAGCCCCGATGCCGCAACCTCGCAGCACACGCTCAAGGACTCCCGTATCGACTACCACGCGTCACACCCGCACCGTCTCCACGCTTCGCTCCCGTGAAGCTGCCAGCGCCCTGGCTTCTGCACCCACACCAAGCGCTGCTCCCGCTCGTGTCGCTCCGGCTTCCAAGTCCCGACTGCCCTCCGCTCTCCCCTCCGCTTTGATGCCGAGGAAGAAGACCCGGGTCCCAACCAACCCGTCGTCCATGCGCAACACCGCCGCTGCCGCTGCGTCCAATAGCACTCTCGGCTACTCCAAGGGCCGAAGTGTGTCTTCCACTCTGAACGAAAACAAAGAAGACTCGAAGCCGTCTACTACCCACACAACACTCTCACCGGAGACATACATGCAGCTCTACGGCGCTCCCCCGCTGGGCTCGGACATGTGGACCCGTTGCAAGGCCGCCGGCAGCTTCGACTCTCCCGAAGAAACCAGCACTGCGCAGGAACTCGAGGAGAATCTGCCTACTTTCGAGGAAGATGACGAGGCTTTGAATTTCCAGCTGGCGCTGTAGTAAGCTGGGTTTCACTCTTTTATTCTTGCCATGACATCGTTATGAAACTTAACCACTATCATTTGAATTACTTTCGTTTTGTACTATCTTTTTTCTTTCTGCTTTCTTGATCGGGCTGGTCTAGGCTGTGAGGGTGGATTATGGCGTATTATTGTATGGGACCTCTAGGATGGAATTGGATTTCTGCACAGCTGCGGGCTTGAGCTGGGCTTTCGTCGAGGTTCGGGTAGTGGAGAATTGTATCTGACCTTGAACAAAGTTCACATATGGCCTTTCCAAAAAAAACCGATGTTCCATCTGTCACACTGACAATGTACCAATACTACTAGTGTACAGCTAGAGACTAGAAGAACATCATGTCGCCCTCAGCCAAGAATAGGACCGAAGTCAGGTGATATCCTTTGAGAAACACTTAACCGATTGTACCTTGATCTGGCCATAAGTATATGGGGAGGGGCATTGAGAGAGCTTTTTCCCTTCAAGGATCAGTGCTATCTGAGACTTTGAGGAGTTGGTCTTACTAGTAATCGGCATTGAATCTGGTTTTCAATTCCCGATTCTTGACTGTATGTATCATGATGGTTGACTGATAAAACATGGACTAGTAGTACTACTAGTATTGTAGTAACTGCCCAGGTGAATTCCACGGATCCGACAAGCTACCTAAGTAGTATATACAACGTGTTTCACTAGCGATTCGGCCATCCAAGCGGGTCGACCATTGCCAAAAATAGGGGGATACCATCCATGGATACTAAATGTGGAATAAAATATCTCAACAACAGATCCTTTCTATTTAAAATTCCGTTCGGTTGATATAATCAATAGAAGTAACAATCTATCTTTTTCTGTAGTAATTTGAGTGATGCTTTATAACTTCAAGTTGAACTTTTATCAACTTGAAGTACTAGTACCTACCTAATAGTACATACTACTCCTACCTGGGTACTCTACAAACATATAGTACCTACCTAGGTATGTTTCAACTTGACGTTCCAACAACCTTCCAAGGTTTGGGACTTCCTGGAAACTCCCGGGCCGATGACTTCAAGTTCAAGTTGAGGAGGTTAAAGAAATATCCCAGGACTCGGATACAAGGAAAATCAACAATGATACAATTTTGTTGTAGGGTTATATTAGAAAATAGGGTTGTTGATATATCAACCTCGGGAGTCGTAATTTATTGTCCAAGCTATGGTGTTTCGCGCTGGCCGACTCGCTAGTAAAACAAGTTAGTACTGACATACCTTGGTAATACTAGTAGGTCATTTGGGGATTCCAATATTGGAAGTAAACTAACAAAAAAGAACTCCGGATCCGCAGTTTTGTTATCGTTTCAACCTTGGAGGGACGCGACCGGGCGAAGAGACCCCGGGACCTCACCTCCGAGAAAGTTTGGCACGCGTTATGACCCAGACGCCTGAGAATGGATCTACCGGCAGGAATGCTCCGGTAAGAGCCGACTGACGCGTCTAAAAGGAGATATCACATGGAAAAAGCCCCCTCCGTCATATTTGAGCTTGACCTACCTATGTAGTACCTCAGTACTTGTAGGACGAAGCTGACGGCTTCTGAGTGCGCTTCAATATATTCCATGATGGTTAGAGCTAGTTGATGCTGGCAATAGTATTGAGGAACATGTCTAGATGATTCATGAAAGGAATCGTTTCTATACGGTGCTACCAATCTGTCAAATTATTCCGTTGTCAACCTTTTTCGACTCTCTCTCGTACTTGTGCAGCTGACACTCATCCACACGCATGACGCAAGTACTCACACGGTACGGTCAAGCATGCTAGTAGCGGTCGGGCATTAGACCTTCCTACCTGCTGACATATATCAATCTCGACTCAAAACTCTACTTCCGAGCCTACATACTACTAAATGCGTAGACTAGTGGGATGTACGTGATCTTTTCAAACCCCATGGAGGTTCCGAGGTTCAGGACAAGGGGCTAAAGCTTATTTTGCTCTATTTACCTTCCCTCGCCAAATTCATGTTTCTATAATTGATGCAATTCAATTGAAAACTTACAGAGTCGTGTCATTTCATACTGATACTGTAGAGCGGTTTGTATCTCTGGGAATTAGGCAATGTACAGTTGAACCCGTAAAAGACATAGTGAAAGGAAATTTACAATACTGAAGAAGCTACAAAAAAGAGTTGACTGGCCAGCTGAGAGCATTGCCATGAGAAAGGGAGCAAGTAGTCAGGATTAATTGGTTCGTATTAGGACTACTTTAAAACCCATATAGCAAGTCATCCATCAAAATTTCTGACCCGAGGCCCAACAACCATATATCAAACAATAAAATTGGACATAAGGCATTCAAGACAGAAGCAAGAAAGCTTTACTGTGAAAGCTTCTTACAGAAGGTGGTTGAGAGAGCACTGAGCGTTGACGTCGAGGTTGACGAGGTTGCCGCTCTATTCGAATGATTAGCGAGTGTATATTCCGAGTTGGAAAGTGAGTACTTACGGCGACATCCTTGTCGTCACAGCAGTAGACGTCACCGCCGGCGCAGGACTCGCCCAGAGCACCGGGGGCGACGTTGCCCAGGGTCAGGAGACCACCGTTGCCGTTGTCGGAGCAGACAACAGACTGGCCAGACTTGCAGACCTTGCCCTCGCCGGAGGAGGTGGCAATGGCGGTAGCAGCGAGAGTAAGAGCGACGAGGATGAACTTCATTTTGAAGGTGTGTGGATTGGTTCTAGAAAGGTTAGTGTATAACATAGATGGTCGGGAGGTTGATGTTCATACTGAATAGATGGATTGATTGAAGAGATGATTTGATGTGTTAAGATGATTCTACTGAGCGACCTTGAGGCCCTTTTTAAAGCACCCCCGAGAGTTCTAAATCCGGAGGGGGCTGAATTATGATGCCGAGAAATATTGTACGAGATCTCCATTCCACGTTGCAGATCACATCCCTTGCTGATGTGGTATGTAGAGTCGATCATCACCTTTATTCACTACATGTTGCACTATACCATTCCAAGGTAGACGGAAAGCGTTTGATTCTATTCAGCAGCTGATGAAATTATTAGGTCATGACTCACAGACGAAATAATGTAGAGTGATACACTGGCTGTAAGATGACTTCCGTTTTCCCCAGCGTACCTGGGTAACCACGCGATAATCCAGTGTCCCTTCATAGCACGGCTCCCCTAGTTTGGAAAGGGAGGCTCCAATGAGCAGCCCTCGGAAGGTATGGATCGTCACTCCGGAGATATGACAAGGTGGCTTGGTGGCTTGGATAAGATTATCTGACTGCTTGCGGCAACTGTGGAGCAACCCTGTTTTATGAGATTCCACACATATTCAAAAGTACCAAGATATGTAATAGACCGCCTTACAAGAATTTGATCAATATAGGGGCCCCCAAAGGTCCCGAATGCTCCTATCATAGCGGAGCGTCATTGACTTAACTCTGATGATGTTTGCGTGGGTGGTGTTTTTAGAATGAAATGGAGGTCAACCAATGTAACAAGGAACGGAAACGGTATCCGAGATGGCCCTTGGGGTATGTGAAATAGCATATCTAGTAAAGATTGTCATAACCCACCTACTTCATGGACCTAAATCCACTACTGAAGTGGACCAAGGTAACTGAAAATATTAACTATTGTCTCCCCAGCTACCAGTGGATAGCCATTGGCCGCAATTTCCGTCCGGACCTTGATTTGCCAAGTTGAGACCGGCCCATTCTACCACCACCACCTGTAATTCAGAGGAGAGTATATTCACGACTCGTCGACCGGATTGCTGGATCGGGGCATCCCATAGAAAATCAGAAAACTCATCTGGACTGCATTCGGGTGCCAGGAAAAGATGAACATCAAGCAGAGGTTTGTTGCACTATAATTCTTTGATTTTCTGTGGAGCCTAGTTGTGAAGTCCTGTTCTCGGGGGAGGCGATGATATTCTTCAAGTTCTTTCTTTTTGTTCTGAGACGTATGTTCTCCAACCTGAAGTTGGAATAGTGCTAGTAGTATATTTAGGATAAAAATCATGAAGAAATTGTTGTGACTCACTAATTAGTAGTCATGTCACACGGGGCACTAAATCAATATTTTATTCAAGATCTAGTAATCCGTGAAGTTTTAAAGCTGCGCTTGACCCTTTGGCTGAAAACGCGTTAGTTTTAACACAGTCAGCTCCTGAATCAACGAACCATCTTAACACTTATCTTCCTGTGGCAATATTGGATATCAACGGGCGGTTAATACGCGAGGCGGCTTTCAGCTTGCTAGATGTTGGAAATGGGTCCCGCAATGCGCCAAATACTCTTTTCGACGGATTAGACACATGGCAAGGTGAATTAAGTTTATCGTGGCGGAAAACCTTTTATTCACTGGGGGCGGGTGGTCCGGTTGATTTCAAAGTCTCACCATTGTCTATTTCGGGGTGCGCAAAATTCTGAACCTGCAGGGTCCTAATTTTCCAAAGTTCTGCGGGGTTTCTGACTGTACCTAATATTTATTAATTACATATTGTTCTTGCATGAGAGATTTATTTTGACGCAGACTGAGACTTGACGTAAAGGAAGGCTTCTAGGTTTTGTGTATGATTCATCAGCGGGTCGTGGGGGAACCGTTTTCGGAAACGAGCCTATGCTTATTCAAGCCAAATGAACCTACCAAATGGGTAATTGGGCAGCATACGGGGTGGTATAGCACGGTTACATGATTATTTTTCTTCAGTTGGAAGTCTTGGTAGATGAAAGCTCAGCGTTGAATTTTATAAATACTCCCATGTTCACTTCCTAGACCTTTACGCCTTCGATTATCCCATTTCTCTTTCCACCGCCGACCCGACGGTACGTGATGATATGCATGCAATTTACTTCTCATGGAGTCCCATTTCAGCTAACAGACTGAGAATAGATACCACCACCAAGCCAGTCATCATGAAGTTCTTCATCGCCTCTCTTCTCTTCGCCACTGCCCTGGCCATGCCCACTTCCGAGGGCAAGGTCAAGGGTAGTGATGATGACTCCGGAAAGACTGTTTGCGACAGCCACCAGACTGTTGTCTGCAGCAACAACGGAAACGGTGGTCTTCTGTCCCTCGGCAACTTGCTCACCGGCCTTCTGGGCGAGTCCTGCTCCGGCGGTGACGTCTACTGCTGCTCGCAGAGCGACGTTGAGCAGGTATGTGGATTTCTATAATGATAATAAAGAAAGAAAACGAAAAGCTAACTTATATCGCAGACTGGTCTGATCAACCTGGATCTCAACCTCCAGTGCAGTCTCAACCACTTGCTTTAAATCTCAGACTTGTACCTATGGACATAATCCTACAAGTGAGGCTAATCCTAATAAAATAATATCTATTAATTCCACACAAACGCAACCTCGAACATGTAGCTTTCGATTCAAATGGCAAGTTTTAAGTACACGTAGAATCGAACATTTGGAAGAGGCCCTAGACATGATTTTATATTGTTCTTGCCAGTGAGTGCCTGAAGGTAATTTCTCAGATAAGCTCAGGCTGCGGGCATTTGGGACCACGAGATCTTCAAATTGAGAAAAGACTCGGAGCTTGCAAGGAATACCAATTCCTAACTAAGTGAACTTGAATTTTAGTGTCATGACAGCGGTGGACTGATAGAAATAAATAGCTGGATTGCTCGGAGGGAGTAAGTCCGCAACGGAGGAAGCTGAACTGGGTATCTGCCCAGGTGAGGTCTCAACCTCGACACTCCCTGCAGTAACATCCCCGGCCATATTTTTCGGAAGATATTGATTACTATCAATTACTAAGATATAACTTCAAGATGGTGGTATTGCTAATTCAGAGCATATATCTGATAAAATATTCGTATTCTTCCGAGTCATTCATTTCAATTCTCATAAACGTTCACTTTCATCAAGCATAAGTCATCAATATGAGCCTTCTTTCTCGCTGCTTATTTCTTCTTCTCCCTCTGAACGAGATGATCGTCTTTCCGACAAAGAGGGTATCACATCACGTTGGAAGTGAGAATTGGTTTGGTGCGATTTATTTTGACTCTGAGTATTGGTCTCATAACAGCCTAAGAGGTGGTGGACATGGTTGATCTGACTGGGCGTATTTTTCTGAGAGAAACCCCTGGCATGAAAAGCTTCAAGGCTCTGTTCAAAATTAGCTAAAAGTTACCTCTCCAAAGGAAGGCACACAGAAAGTACATTAGGAGCGCAATATTTCTTACATGGCCATTTGTCGTATTTGCTAAAATGTTCCTTCTCGCTTTTAGTCATAGGCTGGGTTGGGAGATTGTTAGTACATTTTTCAGCTTTTCAGGGAAAGCGGGCGGGTCTTGTTACCTCGGGTTTTGATTTTTCGCTAGGGCAATACATTGTAGTGATAATCAATGTAGTATCGATCAGGATCTCCCTTATCCAGTTGATATAGTTTTTATTGGGGGTACTTTTGAATGTCCTGGTGGGCTTCTATGACGATGACACCTCATAAACTTGAACCTGCCAACCCGCAAACTGGCTCACGGCAACTCAAGCCACAAAGAATATGGCCTGATTGGATCCAGGGTTTGGCAGCACAAGCCACCCTCCTTTTGCGGAGACCTGTACCTGGGCTAGACTTCGCCACGACCCGCGGGTGGACCTAACGACCGTGCCTAGACCCTCGAGAGCCCTGGAGGATGATTTAAAGGAATGAATGATCACAAAGTGATAGACAGGTAGGTACTGTGTGAATTTAGAATCACTGCAGTGCTGATATAGTACTTCCAATGTTTTCCAGCCCCTCTGGCTATTCTGCATATTTGACACTAGACTAACAGATACTAGTGAGGCTTATTTGGGTCTGGGTCCCACTTCCTAGTTGGCCATGGATATTCCAAGTTGAATTCATGTTCTACCAAGTAAAGCCCTGGAGAGAGAGGACAGTGCCAATCAAGTATTGACTAAATGATAACCAATTACTGACATTCATCAATATGGTTGCCTGGCCTAATAGGAGCTAGACCAATTAGATTAAATTAGATTGCATAATTAATGTTTATTTGTACTCCAACTAGCGCAAATGGGAAGCCGCGGAAGTAAACTCACCGCCCACCCAAATTGCCATTTATTTACTGATACCGAGGTCTCCTTTTCATCGTCACACCTTTCTCAATTGGAAATCTCAAAGCCATGACGACCCCTCATCCGGAGTCCAGTACGGACTTTGAGTTTATTCAAACTCCTCCGGCTCCTGTGCAGTCCAAACCTGCCTTTGACTGCGGTGTACCAACTACTTTAGTAAGTAATCTAGCTCTATAGTAGAGAGCTATTGAAGGTGCAAGTACGCCCAAAAACTAACGCAGTATACACCTCCAGTATCTGGCTATCAAGAATGCTCCCGTCCCCGCCGATTCTCCGGGAAGCGATAGCTTTTCCAATGGCTTGATGGCCTTCCTGCTCTTCGTGGTCCCCTGGTACCTGGCCCGCCAGGTCAGCGGCGGCCTCTACACCACCATCTTCTTCGCTCTATTCACTACAATTCCCGTTCTCATGGCTTTCTGGAGTATCTCGTCCTCTATCTCTCCCCGCAAGACCGAGAAGGCCAAGTACTGTGGCCGCCCCGTCGAACACTACCTGCAATTCCACTCCGAGCACGACCGTGCTACCTACCGTGGCAAGAGCAAGATCCCCATGGAGGTGTTCTACGAGAAGTACTTCAATGGTGAGGTTGATTTCAAGATGGATGCCCTCGAGGCTCTCGAATACCGCCACGACTGGGCCAACTTTAAGTTCACCATGGGTCTTTTCAAGCACTTCCTGTTTGGCTTCATCCCCGAGATGCTCCTCCACACTCGTTCCCAGGGTATGGATCATCCCCATAAGTGTGTCTCGTTAAATGAAGATGTGCTAACTAGCCCTACAGACGAGGAGCAGGTCCGTGACCACTATGACCGCGGCGATGACTTCTATGCTTGGTTCCTCGGCCCCCGTATGATCTATACCTCCGGGATTATTGGTGACATCAACAAAGAGGAGACTCTCGAGGAGTTGCAAGACAATAAGCTGGCCGTTGTTTGCGAGAAGATTGGTATTCAACCCGGTGACAAGATGCTCGACCTTGGCTGCGGCTGGGGTACTCTTGCCAAGTATGCCTCGGCTCACTACGGCGCCCACGTCACTGGTATCACCCTCGGCCGCAACCAGACTGCCTGGGGAAACAAGGGTCTCCGTGTCGCCGGTATTGAGGAGGACCAAAGCCGAATCGTGTGCTCAGACTACCGTGATTCCCCTCGTGTCGAAGGTGGCTACCAAAAGATCACTTGTCTTGAGATGGCCGAGCACGTTGGTGTTCGTCACTTCAGCACTTTCTTGTCTCAGGTCTACGATATGCTCGATGATGATGGTGTTTTCTTCTTGCAGATCGCCGGTCTCCGCAAGTCTTGGCAATACGAGGACCTTATCTGGGGTCTGTTCATGAACAAATACATCTTCCCTGGTGCTGATGCTAGTACTCCTCTTGGATTTGTCGTCGACCGCCTCGAGGGTGCCGGCTTCGAGATCAAGGGCATTGACACTATCGGTGTTCACTACTCTGCTACTCTATGGCGCTGGTACCGGAATTGGATGGGAAACAAAGACAAGGTTGAAGACAAGTACGGCAAGAGATGGTTCCGCGTAAGTGTTCACGAAGGCTTCCAAGATTCTATACATGATTCCTTTTTGATGTAAATTTGTTGACAAATTTCTAGATCTGGGAATACTTCCTTGCCGCCTCCACTATCACCTCTCGCCAGGGTGGGGCTACCTGCTGGCAGCTCACCCTCGTCAAGAACATCAACTCTACCCACCGTGTCGAGGGTATCCAATCTCAGTTCGGTCTCACCGGTGCTCGCCAAGCTGCCATCAACCGCGCGAATGGCACTGTCCCCAGTGCCCATGTCATCAAGAAGGACTTGTAAATTTTCGTCCAGAGTCATCGTCCATTTTCTAGCGTCTCAACTTGATCTGCACAGATCAAGTCGCATTCATAGCGTGTTGATGAACGTCTGAGTGACGTGGTAATCCTTAGCCCACGGGCTGCGAACATATTTTTATGAAATTCTGAGTATGAACCGAAGTGAATAGACCGGCGAGTCAAAGTCACATCTGGGGATGAACCGCAGGCGGGGATGGGGATATGGATCCAGGCTATGCCTGTGCCTATCATGCCCATGGCGTGTTCTTTATATGTCCGTAACTCGATCTCCTACTAGTGGTTCGATCCCTCATATTTCAGGTATTTCGGGATCTCACGATATGGGCTTATTTACTCCTTTGTATTGACCATATTCAAATTACTGATGATACCCAAACTCTGCTCGCCGTAAATTCACCCATTACCAACTTGAATGACGTAGCCAATTTTCGATCACGATCTCCCCTGACTGAGTGGGTCGGTCCATTCCCAATGCGGAAACTGAAGATCGTTCAGCCCCTCGAGACTTGACAGAATCTGCAGCCACGCCATTTTCTTCCAAAAAACCAAGTGAAAAAAATAGAGCCACAGCGTCGGAGCAAAACAGGAGGATATGAAAATCTCCGCGTTATTCGCCCTCGTGGCCGTCGTGAGCGCTGAATTCTCCTGCATCAAGCCTGTCAACCCCATTCCTGCCGGCCCCCCCTGGCGTATGCTGTGACAAATTGGACCGGAATGCGCTCATAGGCTTTTTATATACCGGGAAAATGTGTATGCTTGTCCCCGAACCGATGAGCAACGTTGTTGTGCCATCTGCGAAAGAAAAAGGATAGCTGCTAATGGGCTCGAGTTGAAGGTGTCCGAGCCAATAAAGTGGATGAAGCCAAGAGTGGAAAGACGACATATAGCTCTTGCCAAGATGGGCGGAAAGCAGCTTGTTGTGACCCGGTATGTCTATATCGAAGGAAACGATACCCTTGGGGATAGTTCTGATTACTGATTTGAGTACTCTGTACAGCTTTTGACGAAGATCAGTCAAGCTAGTAACCCTGCATGTGTTCTGCCTGATGATAGCGCGTAAGTGATATCCGGGCCCAGGCCAGACTTTGTGTATCTAGTATACTAGTACTTGGTTGCTCTCATGATACGTGTTTTGCCAAGTGGACGACCAAATCTGATCCCTATTTTATTGCATCTTGTAGGACAAGGTGGTCTGAGACTATTCGAGCCAGCTTCTTGAAAGGCCTTGGCAAGCATCAAACCATGCGTTTAACACGACAATGAATGTATCCTGGATCACATTATTCCATGGCGTTCTCAGGATGTCACATCCTTCTAAAATAGATTCCAATTTCTCAGCGTCGAACAT